TCCTTCGCCCACACATCTCCTATTATGTTCATCAAAATGATTGATTTTTGCAAAAACAGTGATATTTATATTGTAAATGGGCGTGTTGGCAGTGATAAATATGTAGGAGGTTTAACTCGTAAAGGTTGTAGCACAGTTGATTATGTGGTTGCCACAGCACCTATGTTTGAAATTATTCAAGATTTTGATATCACTGACTTCTGTAACTTGTATTCGGACGTACATAATTCTGTTTCATTTTCTATCTTACCAGCCTTTTTACAGAACACAGGTGTGAAGGTATTGTTGAAAATCAGTCACGTGTAAAACTATGGTCACCAGATCAAGCAAAACATTTTTCAGAGAATGTGGATATACCTAAGGTCAAGGACTTAGAAAATGAGTTAGATATTTTGACCAGTAGTACGGAAATATAAAATGGCTAAAAACTATAGTTGAACAACGTCTTAAAGATCAGTACATACAGTAATGGCAAAGTGATATGCGCGATTCGTCTAAAGGTCATATGTATAGTATCTTCAAAACAGAATTTGGATTTGAAAAATATTTAGACTTACTACCTAAAAAATTTAGAACAATTTTAATTAAATTAAGAACAGCAAATCATCGTCTCCCAGTTGAGACTGGGAGGTGGTTTGGAATTCCCAAAAATGAAAGACTCTGTAATATCTGTAATAATGGACAAATAGCTGATGAGAATCACTATATTTTAGAATGTCAATTTTTCTCAGAATGCAGAAAAAAGTATCTACCTAGTAAATATTGTAATAGACCAAATTTCTACAAATTCTCAGAATTGTTGTCAACTGCATACTCCAAGGTATTAATCAAACTATGCAGCTACATAGATAGGGTATATGAACAAGTCTGTCCTCCATAATTATTCTTCTTCTTATTATTATTATTATCATTTTGTTACTTTATAAGTTGAATGTATTTCCGCCATTTCACGTGTATCTTGTACATTGTTTTTGTATATATTGTACATAGAACCTCATGTACCATTAATTGGTTTGAGTGAATAAATTGAACTTGAACTTGAACATTCATGTATTGTGATTTAATTAGATACTTGGTTTTGCAAAAACGCAATGGGTGTTTGAAAAATATATATAAAGATATTAAAGTATTATCCAATAATTTTTTTAATCGTAAATATAAATCATCTATTAGTATTACCAGCTGATCAGGGTGTCCTTTGCCTAAAACTCATTTAAAATTGCGGAAATGACACAGCGATTCGCATGACTGTATATTGTATCGATCGATAGAAGGAAGTCATAAAACAACATGATGGGGTATGTCAATGTAAACAAGTTTCACACCTTCGCGTTCTTTTGTTTACAAAGAAATAACATAATTACGTATAATTCCATGGATTATAGTATTGGTACATGTACATGTATTAATACCGTATATTGGGACTTCTTCTAAATCGATATACGTTTAAATCCTGCTGTATCGTATAACCCGTTAAGAGAAAGAAAAAAATCCAAATTATTTGTAAATATTAATTATAAATAAAGTTTTTAAAAGGGTGCTTGGATGCCCGGAACGTTTATTATGGCCGGAACCAAACTTACGCGGGCCGGAACGTTTATTATAGCCCGGAACCAATATTATAGGTATTTAGCGTTCCGGCCGGAACGCTAAGTTACCCGGAACGTAAATTATGCGACACCGGCCATGTCTAAACCCATCGTCGCAAACCACGGTTTTGAGTCCACAAGCTACCTCAAATGATGATAAAGAGAATCGATGTGAATCACCCGTGGGTTACCGACGATGGTCTAAACCAAATGGACTCCTATACTATAAATTCAAGAAAGTTTAATATAGGCCTATAATAAATTTGAAAAGGGAAATGTTATAAATTTAGGTACATGTATTGTGAGCCTCAGTATCTACAGATAAGGATTCCCAAATTTTTACATGTGCAAATTATTGTCTTGAGCACGTTAAGGGACGTAGTATCTTTTTTCCCAAATACGAGGGGGGGGGGGGAGAGAGAGAGAAAGAGAGAGAGAGAGAGAATAATTAAAAAGGAAAAAAACAGTGTGCAAAGAAAAAATGAATAGGAAAAAACTGCCCAAAATTCTCAAATCGGTGGGGGGGGGGGCTGCAAATGACTATACATGCATATATAAATGCATTTGTTGGGGGGGGGGGGGGGGCTGACACCCTATCCTCCTCTTATAACGCGAAATTTTTTATTTGCAAAAGTTCCGCGTTGTAACGCGATTTTTTTTTACCTACGAAAATAACTCAATGGGCTTTCGTACATAATGGCAGTTTTCATATAGGATATGGTCCTTCAACGTAGCAAGGTTTTTCGGGGGGGGGGGGGTTCAAACTACAAAAAAAAAAAAAAAAAAAAAAAAAGGTATGCTCCTCAAACTCCAAAACGCAAAACGAAAATCGGGGTTGGGAGTTGGACCCGTTCTCTAACTTTTCGGTAGCTTTTTTTTTTTTTTTTTTTTTTGAAAGGAATGCAGTGTTTGAGCGTACAACAAAAAGGGGGGCACACAGCCTCCCAATGAAAACACATAGTAAAACTACATCAAAACATAAAAGAATATCTTCAGAGATCCCCTCCGGCACACTACGGATCTACATGTACTTCATCTGAACAATTAGAGAATATAGTTCAGGCACATGTATATACATGCATAACTGAGACATTTACTTTTGAGAAACGTATCCACAGTTTAATGGGTTTTTATTATTATAATTATTTTTAGATTTTGAATTTATTTTGATATTTGAGGAGGAGGTTTAAATGACAGCAGTCCCCTCCTACCCCCTGTCCCCGAATGATTCACATGATACAGACTAGCACATGCAATGACAATCAATGAAATATATAAATTAAGATTAGATTATTTGGTTCCACATTTCACGTTTTAGCAACCCTTTTTATTGGGAAAAGGAGGGGTTGGGGGAAAGTGCATAATTATAATTAACTCGATAAATAATATACCTTGTCCTGTTTTCATTTCATGATCGTCCTTTCCCTATAACGTTATTTTTCTTGCATTATAAAGGTTATTTTAAAACTAGTGCAACAATTTTTTTTCTTTATGCCGTATTTGTTTGGGACACCACAGTATAGTTTAATCCAAAGATGAACATATGATATACAAGAAAGTTTCCCTGAAAAATTCTCCGTCTCTGAAATTCTTGCATTTTAAAACTTCAGTATGTTATATTCGTCATTAACACACCCCCCCCCCCCCTTATTTTCAAAATGCTGATAAAGAGGTGCTTAATTCTTTCGTTTTCGTTTTACAGTTAAGTGTCCTAGTTATTATTGTAAATATACCTTGTATTCGTTTAAATGAAACGAATAAGAACATAAGGAAATCGACAAACAAAAACCAAAAAGGTTTTTAAAATAACTTTAAAAAGCTTAAAAATTAAAGTTTCACTTTGCTCTCAAAGTCTAAATTCTTATTCTGGATGGGGTCCTAGTACTCTCATAGAGTATTCGGCAGAAGAATTTTGGGGTGCAATAACATGGGAGGGCTTAGTAAGTGGGGGTGGGTGGGAGGGGGAGGCGGCTAGCCTTTGAATGACATATTCATACAAAAATAACAGCGATAGAGAATCTTCTCAGAAAGGGGGAAGGGGGGGGGGGGGCTTGTAACATTCCTATTTTAAGCTAGGAGACTATGGCTCTAGCTATTTTCAATATTTGAAGGCTGAATACCCATAAAACACGTTTTCAATCACTAGCTGTGCCGCATTTACATCAATCCTCCTCCTTCCAATACGTTTGTCTTATAAAAGAAATAAAAGCTTGAATTGTACAATATATTTTTTTCACGTAGTGACTGGACGTGTTATCATGGTTTAAAAAAAAAGAAGATTTTTCGTGTAGGTCCATTGTGACAATAAATAGTATATAATTAATGATAATAACTTATCTTCAGACATTGTAGTGTGGGAAAGTCCGAGAATCAGTTCTTGCAGTTTTATGTTCAAATGTTAATTTTTTTTCATTATCTAATATAATGAAATATGTGGAGATAACGAACAGTATTCGAGCTCAAAAGTCCATCAAACTTTACAAAATAAGAGCAGAGATAACACGGACCTCTAAGACATCAGAGGTGGGATCAGGTGCCATGGAGGAGTGAGCATCCCCTGCCTACCGGTCACACCCGCCGTGTGCTCCTTGTTCTGATCGGAAAATAACGGAAAAATCCGTCGACAATTCAGTGTATAAATAATGGCCTAACAACTAGTATGAAAAAAGTCAGTCAGCATTTCACTCAGTGATAGATTGTATTTGCTGACAAGGTCATTGTATCGACCATAGAACTTACGAATTGATAACTTTAAACGAGACTGCTGATATTCTTGTTTTATCAGTTTGTCAGTAACTTACATCGTTTATAAATTGTCCATGCGTAGAGCATGCTCTGGCGTATCGAATCAACTGAGAGATATAAACCCAGTATGCAGGTGATAAGGGTATATTACTGCATAAGTAAGGGAAGTTGACGATTGAAAAGTTAGTCATCACGTTCATCAAGTGTTTTTGTAATTATTATAAATGTATTATTTATGTTTGCTTGAAAGAGACGAATATTGTAACATATTAAATTAATAATTTGAAGTAGAATATATTTGACCCCTCTCCAATGCGGATCATAAACCTTTGGCTATCTATAAAATGATTTTGGCCACACTGGACTCAATTTAAGCTGCTGATGCCAGTAACGGTAGGACAATATTTTTTATGAAGGGGTGGGAGTTAGCATTAAGATTTAAACATTTATTTGTCTATATTCATGAAAAAAAAGTTGTTCGCGGAAAAGCAGATACAGATCTATACTATCAGAGACGTATCGACGAGATCCGTCCGTCATTTTACCAATCGGAACATCACTCGGTCTTTTCCGTCAGGATTCGACTTGACGGAAAAGGCCGAGTGATGCTCCGATTGATATATTACGTCACCTTTTCATGATTCATGACGTCACATATAAGGTATCTCGTAGAAAATCATAATGTGCAAATGCGAACTTGAAGAAAGAGGAAGGCGTATACTAGGATTATTTCTCTGCTTACTCGACGGTATATTGGCACTCTCTGGTGCTGCTGTTGCAGCACTGGGTCTTTATTTGAATTTCCATTTAGAATCTAAAATGCAGTTTCTTGCTGGCTATGATACAGGAACTGTGCCATCTTTTCTGATGATCGTTGGAATAGCTATGTTTATTTCGGGTTCTCTTTTTTCGAAAGCAGCATTTGATTGTGCTTATCCAGACTCTAGGGGAAGATTCCAGTCATTTTTAATATTTTTCGTAGCTGCAAAGTTTGTGTTGATTTGGGTGGTATTTTCTGCTTCCATGATGTGTTTTGCCCATCGATCTGTGATTGAAGAGTCATTGAACAACGGATTATTTTCCGTATTGAAGCTGTATAAAAAAGATTTGGAGCTGAAAATACTCATAGACAAATTACAAATGGAATATTTGTGCTGTGGGAGCAACAATTATGAAGACTGGTTCAAAGTTAGCTGGGTTAACGAAGACTTTCTGGATGTGGAAGATGAAAATATCAAAAGGTAAAAAAAAAATCTAATGTGAGTGAGTAGATCTGTATCAAGTATCATTTCACTGATATAATTTTCTCACATGAGCATAAGCTCCTGTTAGCTACATTTTTGTAGTCTGTAAACTTATTTTCTGTATTTTAAACCTTCCTCTGAGTCTCCACTATAAAGCCTATCATGGGTTTTTCAACCAAACTTGGCACATAGCATCATGGGCCTTTGGGATTCAAGTATCCTTAAATGAAAATAGGCTGGGATCATTTACAAATTTTCCCAAAATCTCTAGGCCAGAGGAAAAAATGAAAACAGTATTTTTGACTGTAGATTAAACTTTGTTTATATTATGAATTATACTGTAGGGTGGACTATAACAATAAGGTACCAATATCAAATGAACTTGCTCTGCATTTTATTCAGAGTTCATCTGATATCTTAAAGAGGCTGGGGGGTTGTGGCCATTTTTAGACTATATTGATCTCCTTTAGAAGAAGAGCTCCATATGAAGATATAGAAAATGATCAAATTTTAAAACTAAAATGATCAAATTTTAAAACTAAAATTTTTGAAATTTTTCTCTGCCAAATGATAGTTGACAGCTTAAGATATCATATCTAAAAAATTAAGTTAAATCTGGTGGTTAATTTGTGGTTAATTTGTTGACCCCCAGCCTCCTTAACTCCAAGATAGTCAAACTGTACTGTGCTAGGCAATCATGATCTAATTGTTAGCACTCTACGAAAAATCACTTTCTTTCATATCTGTACATATGTATGAGTGACTCTCCTGACCATTTTACCAGGGGTCCATGTTTTCTACAAGGGTCCAAGGTCATTTTCTGGTTACTTAACCTAGGAGGGGAGGGGGGAGGGGTCCTGAAACTCAGTATTTTACCTTCAATATCTCAAACTCTCAGATATCTCTCCGTTTTTCCTTAATCTCATTGAGTTCAAGATAATGAGGTTTGACTGTATTTTATTTTGTGGACAGCAAATGAAAAAACACAACCCCAGAATTACTTTATCATCAATTTTAAATTTGTCACAAAGAAGGTAATTTAGAATTCAAAAGAAGCATTCAATATCATGTAGCAAACAGTTATTAACTGCATCACAAACCTAACAAATTATGTTTTGGTATTTTTTTTCAGTAAAATGCAGGCTGGAATGTATATGGGCCATGATGTTCCTTTCAGTTGTTGCCATATTTACACCTACAGACCATGTGTTCACAGCAATGTCACCAAAGGAACACGTAGTAAATACACCCCAACATTAAACACCAGGGGATGTGCTGGAATCCTCATGGACTTCTTCGAATCTTCCATCTTGGAACCTGCAGGAGTTTTCATTTTGATGGCATTTTTTATTGAAGTAAGAGCAAAGGTTTTTAGACTGTCCCCGCAACTCTTGGCAGATAATGCCATAAAAACTGGCCCAGTATTTCATTTGTCCCAAGCAAGACCTTTGGAACCAATAAAAACTCATGAGACAGCCAGCATGTCATATTATGTCATGTATAAAAAAACAAACATTCAAATATATATAATCAATTTGCTACTCCCAGTTCTTGTACCTTAAATTTTCATACATATCTGTACTTCACTTCGATACTCATCCATTTTAACTTTTAATTACTTCTTGTAGTGGACTGTTCCAAGTACTATTTCTGTTTTAAACTTCCTGAACATTTCTTGTTCATAACAATTTGAAAAGCTGTTACCTGATTGGCTAGATTATAGAATCAAAATTTGTATTTTTTTTTAAAACCCAATTATTATCTTTTTTGTTATCTTTATGTATTAAAATAATTTATTTACTTTGGTTCCAGATACTTTCCACATTCCTTGCACGGTATCAGCAAACGTGTATTGATGATGCTAACTTAATGGAACCAACAGGACCCGGCACTGCTTGTTTATGTCCGAACATTGGCACTGGGGATGCCATGAAATATGTGAAAAGTGAGTGCATTTTTAAAGAAGTTTCTTTCTCTGTGAAATCACTTATTTTCGTGGGGTTTAATTTTCACTGGTTGGAAGAGACCCATGAATTCATGTCCACCACGAAATTGTCAAAATTTCAAGCTTTAGTTTCATGTTCATTCTTTAATCATGAAAAAAAATACCCAAGAACCAGTATTTTTTTCTCAAACCATGAAAATTTGACCCCACGAAAATAAGTGATTTTACAGTATGCTAGCTGTGAAATTAAGTGAAGTGGTATCAGAAGTCCTTGTATGGGTTAATTGTTTTGTATGTTGCTGTTGGTAATCTTTGCATCCATTGATTTAATTATACAGAAAATTATTCAATTAACATCATATTTACCAATAATATGTAAAAAAAAAAAAAAAAAGTGTAGTGAAAATCAGTGTCTGCTTAGAATATAAATGGCACGTGGTAGATTAGGATGCTCTTTAAATTTGGGGGGGGGGGGGGGTAATGAAATATCTACTTCAAATTAATGGAAAAATCTTTCTTTTGTACCTTATAACTTTTCAAAATGACCATGAAGAAAAGGTATTTGATTTTTAAAAGTTGTAAAAGCCATTCTTACAACACCTTTTACCACAGCAAAGTTGTCTACATAAACATGGATGTCCTCTTTCTATGTTTAAGGTCAATTCACACTGTTTTGATAAGCTTGCAATTATAAATTATTGATTAAAAAATTATGAATAATATAATAATATAGTCATAGTCAAGGTTTTCCCAAAGACCTGGGGGCCCGGGAATTTCCCTGATTGACATAATCCCCTGGTTACTCTGGTATTCCCCCTCACCCCCCTGTTAAGGGAACCCCAGACCCCCTTCTACTTTTTAAAGTCCATTGCTATTTTAACTCTTAGGGACAACCCTGTCAGGATTGTGCCTAAGAATTGAAGTAGAAGGGGACATTAAAAAAGTAGAAGGGGGTCTAGAGTTTCTACCTTAATGGGGTTAATATCAGAATATTTGGGGATAACATCATTCATGGGGAAATTCTCCGTTTCCCGTTAGGGACAACCCTATAATAGTTATTATAAATTGACCCTTTTCTTTGGACACTATTTTCATAAATTGAGGCTCATCAAAAGACTTGTTGCTGCAGTGGATATTTGAATTGAATACATGTGCCTTTATGAAAATTGAGTATTAAATTTTTGTAATTAATTAATTTGCCATACTAATAAATGGTTTTAAAGACAATTGAATTAAGTTTGTAACTGAAATTATATGTTTATGAAAATTGGCTAGGTCATGTAACTTACTATACATCCTGATGAAAATGAATGTTTTTAACTCAATATCTTGGTGATTATTTTTCTATCACCCTTTTATAATGAGCTGCCAACCCTTACAATTTTGGTGTAACCCCAACAGATTAAGTATCTAAATTATGATTATTTTAATGTAATTATAATAAATATAGTTTACTGTAGATTCCCAAATATACGCAAGGAATAAATTATTGCTTAATTTCACGAGAAGCACCACTCACGAAATAAAATTACTCGCTTTTATTTTTATGGTGCTGAAATGCATGTAAAATCTCTAGACCAAACGTGTACTTGCGAGTTATTATTCTCACGATTTGACGTCTAAGGGTATAAGGTACTTGCGTAAAATAAGGAATCTACGGTATATAAACAGATATCAAGTTACTCAGCACATGGTTTACCAATGTCACGTGATCGTAATAGCCAATCAGATTACTCCTGTAGTTTGGCTTTGTCTCTCACGCACAATACCTGCAAATCACCTTCTCCCCATCACCACCTTAATTTAATTGTAGAGAACTACTTTTGTTAATATGTTGAGTTCACACAGGGCATTTTACACATGAGTATTTATGTCATGTGTTATTCAACCCCAAAGAAAATGCATTTTTCAGCATACATCGTACATTTGATTTTAACAAGGCCATTGGCCACAAGGCATTTCACACATGAGTATTTATGTCATGTTTTTCAACTCCAAAAAAAATTGAATTTTTCAGCATACAAGGTACATTTGATATCTACAAGGTTATCTGCTACAAACACATGAAGCACAAGGCCATCGGCCTACTTCATTTGCACAAGGCCATCGGCCTACTTCATTTACAAGGCCATCGGCCATGCAGATTCAAGGCCATCAGCCGATCATATGAGGCAATCAATCAACCTGACAAGGCCATCGGCCAAACATAAAAGGCCATAGGCCAATCATACAAGGCTATAGGCCAATCACACAAGGCCATCGGCCACAAACATGCTCAAGGCCATTGGCCACTCATATGTTTAAACATTTTATCTTTTACAAGTGTTCACTGTGTATGCATTTTCTTTACATAACTGCTTAGCAATGATGATGTTTATAGCTGAGTAGTTCTCAAAAGGCCAATGGGCCAAAAACACTTCAGATACATATTTGAGGAATCAAGATATGAAATACATTGAGATTGTCTAAATACATTATGTACATAGAAAGAAAAAGTGTCGGGGACCTCCAACACACTTCAACATATCTGTGATATGTTCAAGAACTGAAGCTCACATGTACATAAAGTACGTGGGAGGGAGGCAAAATCAAAGTGAGATTTTAACCAAGAAGTCTGTGCATCTCACAGATGTTTATCGCACACAAATAAAAGTTGGTATACAGTCATAAATGGATACAAAGTGGATACAAAGTCACCCAATAATTCTATTAATATTATGTTATCAGGGTTGTCCCAAAGAATTAAAAAGCAGGGGACATTTAAAAAGTATTAGGGGGTCTAGGGTTCCTTCCTTAACAGGGGAATGAGGGGAGATACCAGAGTAGCCGGGGATTACATTGGGGAAATTCCCCCTGCCCCCGGGTCTTAGGGACAACCCTGTGTTATTTATGGATTTTATACATGTTACCTATTACAGTGCTCTGAACTAAAATCAAAATAAAATGCATGCTTATCTCAGTAATTAAGCAAATCCAAAACTTTAATGTTAAATCAATAAACAATCATTATACTTATCAGTATTATGTGATAAAAAAAGGCCCTTAATGCAGCAAAGATTCTAAAAAAAAAAAACGGTAACTTTGATAGGCGAAACGAAGATACCACTATCAAAAGATGTAGATAATTACCAAAATGGTGGAGAAGATGACAAGAAGAGTGAAACAGATGATGATGTTGACATCGGTGGTGAAGGTGGTGGTGGTAGTGATGATGGTGGTGGTGGTGGCAGCAGTTATGGTGGTGGTGGTGATGATCGTGATGGACATAGTGCTGGTGGACATTCAGAGGGAAAAATCAAATTTGAAAAGACAGAAAAAGATAAAAAAGAGAAAGATGAAAAGAAAAAGAAGGAAGAGAAAGGAAAGGAAAAGAAGGCCGAAGGAGATGAAAACAATGCTAAAAAGGATGAAGAAAAAGCTAAGATAGACAACAGAAAAGATGACAAAATGAAGAAAAAAGATGGCATTGATGATGATGGTGGTGGTGGCAGTGATGATGATGGTGGTGGTGGAGGTTATGATGGTGGTGGTGATGGTGGCCTTGGAGGTGGTGCTGATGGACAATTCGAGGGAAAAAACAAAGCTGGAAAAGAGAAAAAGGAAAATAATAAAGAAAAGGAAAAGAAAGCCACAAAAGATGAAAAGAAAGCTAAAAAAGATGACAAAAATGCCAAAAAAGATGACAAAAATGCCAAAAAAGATGACAAAAAGCCAAAAGATGAAAAGAAAGCCAAAAAAGATGACAAAAAAGCCAAAAAAGATGACAAAAAACCAAAAGAAGATGACAAGAAAGTCAAAGAAGAGGACAGCAAAAAGAAATACAAAAGTGATGAAAAGAAAATGAAAAAAGGGGAAACTAAAAATAAAAAGAGGGTGTCAGAAGAAAAATCAAAGAAAACAAAGGAGAAATCATCTGATAAATCTAAGAAAGAAAAAAGCAAGTCCCCCGAGAGATCCCGCAAAGACAAATTCAATAAAGAAAAATCTAAATCTGAAGGACAAAAATCAAAGTCAGAAAAATCTAAATCAGAAAAGTCTAAATCTAAGAGCAAGTCTAAATCCAAATCCAGTGAGAGGAAATCTCCCAAGTCTAAATCAGGGAAAAAGTCGAAATCACCTGACTCTAAATCTAGAAGTAAATCCAGATCATCTAAATCCAAAAAAAGCACGTCCACAGGAAGGAAAAGTAAATCAAAATCACCAAAATCAAAATCCAAGTCAAAGTCACCAAAACGTAAATCAAAAAGGTAAAAATTGAAGTCAACGTCACCAAAACGTAAATCAAAAAGATAAAAATTGAAGTCAACGTCACCAAAACGTAAATCAAAGAGATAAAAATTGAAGTTAACATCACCACAATGTAGATCCAAGATTCCAAGTCATCTCCAAAATCAACCAAAACAAAGTCAGTTGAGAGAAAGTCACCAAAGTTGAAAAACAGGGAGTAGCCAAGATGAAAGTTATAAAATCACCCGAGAATGAAGATGATATCTCCTAAAAACCCAGGTTTTAAAAAGTTAAGCCTAGAATTGAAATGATGTGTCTTCCTAATTTTGAATGTCTTACAGTTTTCTCAATAAAGTTAGGAGCAAAAGCCTTTTGGGACAGACTTTCCTTTCTAAACATTTTTCCAAAGGGTCCATATTCAGAAACATATATATCATGCTTCAATTAACCTTTTTAAATTTGAAAAAGCTTGCCATATTGCTTAATCTAATTATACATGACAATGTATAACTAATCAGGAAATAGAAGCATTATACCATTTAGTGTTTATAATGTTTAGACAATTTTAACAATGTGGACGAACTTTTAAGTTTCATCTTTATTGAATCATATTAATTTTAAATTTGCCTTCAGGGCACATGCAGTTAAATAATTTTCTTTAAATTGTAAATGAGAAATTATCAGCAGCATACAAAAATGACTTCATATAATTGAAAAATTACATGCACTATAGGAATTGATGAAACATGATCACTATAGTACTTAAAGCTGAACACGATTCATAAAAGGAATGTGTCGGCCATATTCAATCGGACTCTCGCTATATCTGAGGACCCCTATATAAAGCGGCTGACTTAGTCACTGTTCAGTGTAATCAGTCATCATAGCTGTAGACGGACATATGCTATACAGCACTCAGTTGCCACAAAAAATAACTGTATACTTCTAATGCAGGAAACTAAGATACCAAAGAAACTTACAATAGTTGCACAGGTCAGTGCAGTATACAAACAAAAACAAATACACGTAACTGCAATAAAATGTAAACAAAGATAATGCAAGATAACCAGCACAAACACGGGTTGCCATTCCACGCCGATACCCATGACAATAAAGCAGTCAGGTGTAACAAATGCGAAGAGTATACCCTGGTGCTGATATCGTAGATAGTAATATCGAAAATGGTGTATGTCTATTTATGAGTCGTGTTCAGCTTTAAGATGATAAAGCTGATGGCAAGGAATGCAAAGCTATGTCCACTAGTACCTGTGTAAGATGCAAAGTAATCCTAGCCCAGTAGAAACTCTGCTTTTCTGATATGGAAAGTAATGCTTGCCCAGGATATGGTTTGCAATAATTATAGTGGAAGTGTTCTGAAATAATGTTGAGTGATAAATGCACTTTCCAATGCTTGAAAGAAGTCAAATTTTAGACAGCCAAATTTTTGCTGTTAGCTTTGAAAGTCTTTCTCATTTAGTATTTCTTGACACTAACCAATTAATGGACTTGCAAAAATTCTGCTACATGAAATTTTCATAAAGATTTTCAATATTAAATACTGGTCTCAGTTGCCTAGTGGCCTAGTAATGAAATGTTAAATACTGGTCACAGTAGCCTAGTGGCCTAGTAATGAAATGATAAACTTGTATGAGGTATTCAAGTTATATCATAGGTTAATAACCACTGCTATCCATGAATGATATAATTTGCACCATTAATGGATGCGGTATCATTAATGATTTACAAGGTGGTTGATTTATGATGAGTAGTAGATGCATAATCATAAAAAAAATGCAATATTACATGTTTAGTAGATTTTATATCATAGGTGATTACTACAATGCTTTGATGTTTGCTTATCTCCATATTAAATAATGTATGTTTCATAATCCAAGGCCCAAAAATTTCATTATAAACTTTTAATATGCTAAATTAACTTAGTGAAAATATTTGTCTGTGTTATGTGAAAATCAACCCTTAATACAGAATGGATGGTAACTTTGATAGGCGATACAAAGATACCATTCCCAAAGGATGTGGATAATTACCCAAATGGTGGAGGAGACGACCAGAAGAGTGAAACAGATGATGATGGCATTGGTGGTGGTTATGGTAGTGATGATGGTGGTGGTGGCAGAAGTTATGGTGGTGATGACGGTGGCAGTGATGATGGGGGCGGTGGTGGTGGAGGAGGAGGAGGTGGTGGCGGTGATGACGGAGGTGGTGGTGGCGGTGGTGATGATGGGGGTGGTGGAGGTGGCGGTGATGATGGGGGTGGTGCTGATGGACAATCAGAGGGGGAAAACAAATCTGAAAAAGATAAAAAAGAGAAGGATAAAAAGAAAGAAAAGGAAAAGAAAGACAAAAAAGATGAAAAGAAGGCTAAAAAAGAGGAAAAGAAGGCTAAAAAAGATGAAAAGAAAGCTAAAAAAGATGAAAAGAAATCAAAAAAGGAAGACAGTAAAAAGAAAGACAAAAGTGGTGAAAAGAAAACAAAAAAAGAGGATACTAAAAATAAAAAGGGAAAATCTGAAGAAAAATCAAAGAAAACATCTGATAAATCTAAGAAGGAAAAAAGCAAGTCCCCTGAAAGATCCCGCAAAGACAAATTTGAAAAAGAAAAATCTAAATCTGAAGGGAAAAAATCTAAGTCAGAAAAATCTAAATCAGAACAGTCTAAATCTAAGAGTAAGTCCAAATCCAGTAAAGAGAAATCTAAGTCTAAATCTAGAAGTAAGTCCAAATCATCCAAGTCCAAGAAAAGTAAGTCAAAAAGTAAATCAAAATCAAAGTCACCGAAGGGTAAATCAAAATCGAAGTCAAAGTCACCGAAGGATAAATCAAAATCGAAGTCAAAGTCGCCCAAGGGTAAATCGAAATCAAAGTCAAAATCATCCAAAGGAAAATCAAAGTCAAAGTCACCAAAACGTAAATCCAAGTCACCCAAAAGAAAATCTCCCAAAAGAAAGTCGCCAAAGAGAAAGTCACCAAGGAGGAAATCACCCAAGATGAAAGCTAGAAAGTCACCCAAGATGAAAATGAAAAAGTCGCCCAAGATGAAATCTCCTAAGAGGGCAGGATTTAAGAAGCCCAAACTAGGGCGCCGTTGATACAAAGTGACTCTGAATTAAACAAATTTCATTTAGGTAAATAAACATTAAAGACTAATGGTGTGATAAAATTGCTATCATTCATTACTTGCAGTGTTTGATTATTTTAATGATTGTTTACTAATATGTAAGGTAAGCAATTGTTTTTATACAAAGAAGTTCTATAATTTACTGTATGCAGTTTTTCTTTTTACCGGTGTCATTTTAGCCCTATCAAATTTGCAAAAGATTTTGCCTGTGCCCCTCTCCCCCCCCCCCCCCCCCCTCAATTTGCCCACACTCAGTTGTGTTTAAAGAGAGATAATTCTATCTCTGTCGAATTAGCCTTGTTTTGAGTTCGCCCACTGTTAATGAGGGTGAATGGAGCGAAAATAAAATGGGGGCAAAAATGTTCTCCATACAGTATATTCAGAGATGTGAAGCATACATTTAAAAAAAAAGCACAGCCTTGACTTGAAAAACCATATACTTGACTCACTGCTCAGCATGCATTAAAAAAGCACAACCTTGACTTGAAAAACCACGTAGTAACTTGACTCACTGCTCGCATAAAAAAAAATGTCAATTTTATAAATCTTCCCCAGAACATACAGCAATCATATTAGCAGACATTAAAAAGAAAGACCAAGTTACACTGTACATTGTTTTCAATGTGAAACTTTCTGAGCTACCCTAATTTTTAGCTGAATAAAACACCTTGTTATATACCTTTTAAAATGTTTCCTATATAAATCTATACTAAAATTTCTAACATTTCCAGTGTTTTACTGAGCGGTCCAAAAAAATCAATGTTGGACCGCTGAGTGAGATACTGGACCTGTCGATGAGACATTATATGGACCGCTATATGACGCTTTTTACGTCACACTGTGGGCGGGATCAGCTACTATTATCGCAAACATGGAAGCCAGCGAAATACATGTCAAAATATTAAAAGTAAAAGGTGTAACAAAACATTTATTGACTGTGTTCGAGGGAAAAATGCTTTTGTCGGACCCAAGAACTAAACTGCTTGCTCGAGGACGTTATACAATAAATGTACATGTGTATATTGTTTTCTTTTCGAAATTTATGCGTTTCAAGAATGAATACTACGTCACATCAGAAGAGAGTAAAAATTTATACAGAACTTTAAAAAATAAATAAATAAATAAATTTGAAAAAAAAAAAATTAAAAAAGTTTGGGACAACTTAATCATTTTGACAGGAACATCTTTTAGCATACAGAGCCATTATACGTAATAAATATATTGTTTTTACCCAAAACCGACGAGGAAATAAATTTATGCCCAAAGATTAAGTACAGTTAAATCCATTGATATTTGCATATTGTAACATGCAGCCAAAATTAATCAAATACCAAAATGTATTACACTTGGCTTTAATTCTATATTTAACGCTTTTGGCGACTAAATCAAGTATATAGCTAAATGTCATGGGTGTATGTATGTTTCACTGAAAGTTTAAAATTTAATTTATCAGTTTAAACTCTATATTCTGATGAGTTTAAACTGATTCAATTTAAAACTTTTAATATACATAAATAAGTATGTATTTCAAAATACAACATGTACAATCACAAATGGGATAAATCAATTCTATATGTGTTAACTGGTTAAAAAATCATTTTCCCCAAATATCGTTGACGCTAAATATATAACATTTAACGTGTTGGACTGTTTTATGAGCTGACCGTTCAGAAGCGCGGGGGGGGGGGGGGGGGGGTCTGAAAGATTTTACGAAAATAATCGGCCAGATGATCAATGTGAAATCTTGGCAAATATTTAATTGCCATAATTTATAATCATAAATGAGTGTTGAGTAACTATTTATCACTTAATTTTTTATATGCGACGTTTGACATTTCAGCTTTTATGTTATTTTCGCCATATTCAATTGGTAATATACTATTATTCCTAGAAAAAAAAACAATTTATCATTTTCAGACACATTTACTCAATAAGAATCTATCTGAATTTCCACACTTGAATATGTACAATGTACAGCATAAAATACATGTACAGTTTTCATAAGAAGAAATAACGTTTCATTCAGCAATAAGGACTGCAGAGCTTATGAAATAAGCAGTTGGGCATAATTACTTATTTCATGAAGAGTTTTTTTTCCTGCACTGTAATGATGAAGTAATTTTTTAATGAAGCGGCAAAGTATCGTCATAGATGCAAACACTTTGAACATGGTTACAATTACATGTAATATCTTTATTAGCTTAATATCATAAACTATTGATAAAATGCGCCTTAGTGTGCGTGGTTTGTAAAACCCATGTTATTTATTAATATAGGAGAAGAAAAGTTTAAGGAGGAAGCAGAGTGATGAATAGCCAAGACCTGGAGATCCGGCTGTCCCTTTTACTGGTTTTGGCATCACTGTTATCCTGGATTCGAAACTTTCAGCTAGGAAATTGAGGACTACAACAGAATCACTAGTATACCGCGATGATGTCAAGATTTTGCGTTTATAAGTACACAACTTGTGTGGAATGAATAATCACTTATTCTTTACAATGAGAAAGAGTTGAAATAAAATCATTACTAAACAGTCATAATACTTTATGTTAACCTGATATTTCATATATAATTGCCACTTCTGAAAAACGTATTCTTCATGTACTGTAGATAAAACATAAATAACTAAAACATTTTTTTTTTTTACAAGAAATGTATTTAGATCTATGAGTACATTACACAAGCCCTTCTTTCAATGACGCTTTCTGATCGAGTCAAGCTGCAGTGGAAAAGAGTTTGTAGTAGATCCACGAAGTGAATTAAATAGAGGTAGCATTTTATAAATGTTCATGAAAATATTCTATTTAGTAGCACCCTTAATACTCTTCATCTGAATTAGAAACTATTAACTTTAGGTTCATAAACCCCCTGTTCACTCATATAAAATGTTACTTTAAGCTTATGATTTTCCCAAAGAAATGTATTTTTGTAAAATACATATCATCGCTTGTGGGGCAAATTATTTCAACTTGACAAATCTCTATAAAAGAAAAATATACATTTATGTTATTAAGAGTTATCTCTCTTATCAGAGTAACAATGAATCTTAATATACTCCTTGTGTTTATTGAGGGCAGCTGTAAACTACAAAAGGAGAAGAAAACGAAAGAAACCGAGAAACAAACTAAATGAACAGAGAGAGAAAACAAAATATGTAAATACAAATTCGTCGTTAGAAGTGGGCCTTTCCATCAATGTAACCTATATCATGTGTGGATCAATAATTTAATATCTTATGTATTTTAAATTAAAATAATATTCATTCAATTTTTAACCAAATTAATATGAATGAATATTATGTATATAAATATATAAGCAATAAATATTTTTCTTTGTTAATACATCATTGCAGAAAAAAGACAAGAATACGAAAATGAATTGGGAAAAGATCACTTATTATACCCCCGCAAACGAAGTTTGGGGGGGGGGTATATTAATCTAATTAAAATTAGTTGTTCCGAATACTGCCGCTTTTTGAGAAACGGTAGCGGATTCGGAACATCTAATTTTAATTAGATTGGGGGTATATAGGAATCACCTTGTCCATCTGTCCGTCTGTCTGTCTGTGCAAACGTGTCCGATCAATATCTTTCTTACAGAGGAACATTAGAATCTACTACTTCACACAAAGATTGTTCATGACCTGAGGATGTGTCAAGACCTTGATCCAAGGTCATCTGGACAAGTTCAAGGTCACTGAAAGAAAAAGTTCATAATTTGTGTCCGGTCCATATCTTTCTTATTGATAAACTTGGTGAGTTCCCATTTTACACAAAGATTGCTTATGACCTGAGGGTGTGTCATGACCTTGACCCAAGGTCATTTGGGCAAGTTCAAGGTCACTGAAAGAAAAAGTTCATAATTCGTGTCCGTTCCATATCTTCTTATGGATAAACTTGGTGACTTCCCATTTTACACAAAGATTGCTTATGACCTGAGGATGTGTCATGACCTTGACCCAAGATCATTTGGGCAAGTTCAAGGTCTCTGAAAGAAAAAGTTCATAATTTGTGCCCGGTCCATATCTTTCTTAAGGATAAACTTGGTGAGTTTCCATTTTACACAAAGATTGCTTATGACCTGAGGGTGTGTCATGACCTTGACCCAAGGTCATTTGGGCAATTTCAAGGTCACTGACAGAAAAAGTTCATAACTCATGTCCGGTCTGTATCTCTTACGGAGAATAATGTTGGAATGTTGTGAGTTTCCACTTCACACAAAGATTGCTTATGACCTGAGGGTTTGTCATGATCTTGACCTATAGTCACTGTAGAAAGATATGGATAAATAATGCATCCATACTTTCCAATAGAGAAAAATTGTTATTTATTTTTTCAATGTAATAAAAAAATGTTATTATAAGTATTGCGCCTTAGTTTCATTCATTAAAAAAAATAAAATGAGCAATTACGGGTAAATTTTCAATCTAAATGTTTAAACAAATTGTGAACACCTCTTAGATCCATCAAATATTACATCCCAAACATTAGTGACTTGACACCTTCTCTGAAAAACCCTGGGTGGGGGGGGGGGTGGTATTTGTCCATTTTGGATAGTTCTAGTTTGAAATTATTTCCTATGACAGATAATGATCACAGATTTAATGAAGAGAAAGAGAGAGGAGGGGGGATCAACCGACTTTACATTAGTCCTACAGCAAAACTAATCTATTAAATGAATCTTTACATGTCTGTAGGAGCATACATCAAAAATAAAGGGAATTTTATCCTTAAAATGAATAATTTTATTTGATATATAAAGGAAAAATTCCTACTAGAAATACATTAATTCCATGTTTTGCATAACATTATCCCCAGCAAACAGTTGTAGTACGATTTTTATGTCGTGCAAAAGTGCATCTGTACTTTGTTGTCTTTCATGTTCATAAAAATTGCTGCAATTCGAATGCCGATCATGCGCTCTCAGTCAACAAATTAAATAGTCAATTATTCAGCCTCGCAATAACAAACCATGTTTCACAATGTACTTTTATAGTACAGGAACTTGTTCCAAGTTAACGGAGACTGAACATTTGAAAAAAAAAATTAATACGAACAATAGTATTATGTGAGTGTTCGTTGTTTCTTCAATTATTGTCCACGGGGGAATAAGTTGATTATTGATTTAATTACGGAAGTGACTACCTGAATCAAAATTGTCTGTTTCATTCCCGAGTACACTTATACTTTTCCACTGAATATCGACATACCGGTAAAATTCATTTTGATACTTAATGAGCGAAAAAGTTTGAGTAAAAATTGTACAGAGTAAATGAATCTTTTTATATGTTTTATTTTGCTATACTTAAACCTTGCTGAGACGATGTGCATTTTCATATTTGTCAAACGACAAACTCTGTGTTGGAAATAAAGGTTGCTTCGTACAACAGGTGCGTCATGAATCTGAATAAGATCATTTGAATACATTTTATACACTTAAATTTTATTCATAAACCGATATCGAAAATTTAATACACAGGTTTATTTTTGATTTCAGAGAAGATTCAGAGAAAAAGTGGGGGCGAAAGGGGGGAGGGGCACATCAACCGATTTTCTTTTAATGTACCATCTCGAGTCTATGGAAGAGCATCCATCAAATGTCAATGGATTTTACCCTTTAGTTGTATAATATATGCAAGGCAGTTCCTGGAATTTTTTCGGGGGGGGGGGGGGTCTATACTCACTCAAAAAATTACGAACCCATCTCCCCTAGCACTACTGAATGGAAAATTTGGGCGTGCGTCTTTATCATATTCCGAAACAAATATTTTTCCCACAGAGAATTTCAAATAAAGCAAAATTCTTTATTCTTGCAAAAGTACATCCGTAATTTTTCTTTCATATGTAAATAAAAATGGCTGATTTTGAATGGATCATTTCAACGGTTGCAGTAAAATATTTTTAAACATCAGAATGATGTAATAATGCCCATCAATATTTATTTACTCCATGATTTATAAAAATAATAATAGTCCCTATGTAGCGGCGTAAGTCAAATATCAAGGAGAAATTCTCCGTAAAAACCGAGTTTAAATTTATGCAGAATTTTTAACCCCGAGGCCTAAATAAAAATTTGTAATAAGGAAAGGTACCCGGAATCCGGTGGTGAGGTGTAATTGTCGTCGTGTTACAAACGTGTGCTTCTTTGATTTAACCCAGGAAGATGCACGCAACGTAGCATCACTCAGTATTTGTGTAATGTCAAGCAGCATGACTAGTCAATATCAACGTTAAACAATGAATAAAAACATTTTATTTTTAGTGCAACTACCATGATATTTAAAATTAGTGTTATTTTGGAAATAGTTACAAAGGCTTAAAACATTCATTGAGTTTACCCCCCCCCCCCCCTTTCCAAAAATCTAAGCAAAAATCAACTAAGGAAAATAATGCATGTAGACGAAAGAAATTTAATGGGAACATTAAATTAGTTTTTGCTCACATTACTGAACAATATATAATGCGGAATCATAAGATTTCATGGTAACATTCTCCACGAATTAAAACAAAAAAACTTGGGTTTCAGAGTCTTCTTTTGTAAACATGGTTGAATACACGAAATTACATCCCCAAGAACCTGTAAAATTTAAGGAATCCATGAAAATTGGCCAGCACAAAATTTAATGAGTTCTAATATAGCTATATATATATATATATATATATATATATATATATATATATATATATATATATATATATATATATATATATATATATATATATATATTGAAAATACCTTTTAAAAATGTTAATGATGAGAATCCTTGCTGGAATGGTGAATTTTCCTTAATAAAATTTGAAGGAAAAAAAATATTGTATACCAAAAGGGTGCTCTAACTCTTGGGGCCAAGATTTCAACATAGAACTACTCAACATGAGACAACTTCACAAGCCAAGACTCTTCCGTCCAGAATGCCACCCCCACCCCCAAAAAAATACGGGATCGGGGAAGTGTAGTGAATATAAGCATTTAAGGCGCCAAAAACTGACTGATCTTTCAATGGAGATTTTCAAACTTTTCTGAATATTTTCTTGAAAAGAATTCTTCACTGGGGCCTCGTCTTAGCCCAAGAGACCATGATTTTAGTATCTGTATTAATTTGTGACTTTTGAGAGATGATAGGGCATTTAAATTTGACATGCGCATTACCAGTTTCAAGACCTTTTCGAATTTACTGTGGTTTTTGACCTCGAGACCTTGAAGTTAACCTAAAGACTTTTTCAAATTAATTTTATATTGGCAGTAACTTTCAAATGAGAGAAGATGGGGCTTTTATATTTTTACATGTACATTACCCATGACCTTTCAGAAAGATAAATCATTTTTTACTTATGACCTTGATCTAGAATTTTGACCTTCATATCTTTTGGATTGTATTATGACATTTGACCTCATGACCTTGATCTTGAAGTTTAATGCTGTTTTGAGAAGCTTTAATCTTTGTCATAACTGTTGTCAATTCAATAATTTATAGTTTTTTTTTTCGGGGGGGGGGGGGGGAGGGAGGGTTATGATGCACAGAAAAGAACAGGAAACACAAAGAAGACAGTTACAATATGCCATAAATTATTGCATCCTAACCAATAACACACCGAAAGCGGGGAACCATCATTCTTTGAATTTGCTTGTTTACTTTACAAGGAGATAGCACAGTTCTTACTTTGAATACATTTGAAGCCAAATACTGTAAATGACTTTTTATTCCTGAAAACTTTATTTTCGCGTAATTATGCGAGACGGTGTGCTCGCGAAAATATATTAGTATTACTTCAATTTTTTTCAAGTAGCCCTAAAAAAAGCTTGAGTTTAGAGTGCAAAAATTAACTATGCAAAATGGAAAATAAAACTTGATCAGAACAGTTCACTTTATGGTTTGGCTGATGTAAAAAAATGAAGACTTAAAATTTTTTGCTCCTTGTATTCATATATTTTTTTAAAGTCATATATGGCATATTTTTGAAAAGTTCAGACTAACTAAAATTAAAAAGATCTTTCTATTTGCTATATTACTTTATATATAGATAGGACTTTCCTGTAAATTACACAATTTAAATCAATCGTGTTTCATAGATATTAGAAATTTAAAACAATAACTGATTTATTTACCGACTCCACATTTAAATACCAGACACTTTTAAGTCAATTTAACTATAGAAATGTGGAGTTATTCAAGTTCAAAATCGGTGAAACTTTTAATTTCAACAAAAATATCAAATAACATGTTCATCTACACTTTATCTCGTATTTTTATTTTTTTTTTTAGCTCAGATACGCCATATATAGCTTTAAGACTTTGTTTCATATGACGTGTACTATACTGATGTCTATGTTGATGGATTCTTGATAAAAAGAATTAAATCAAACTTATTGTACTGTATTTGCTTCATATAACTTATTAATGCATAGTTATATAAACACTCCATGTTGAACTTCTATTACTAACAGCTTCTATTACTAACAGATTCTACAAATAATTTAAAATTTGAATTCTTCTCTTTTTTCTACACTCATGATATTCCAGTTTGGAGAATGTACATCATTGGCTAGCCAATTAAAATCATCCACATCATTCCAATTGTTCTTAGATTTATCAAGTCCAGCAGTGACAAAATGTTCATCTAATTTGCCATAGCTGAGACTGTATGGTGCAAATTCTAATTCAGAGCAATCCTCTATAATTGCTCTGCTTGTAACATGCAGATAAAATTTGCATTTTGTTGTTGAATGTGTTCTTAATTGCTGGCATGCTATCACAAAAGTGCAGTTTTTACAATCACTGATGAAAATCGAACTTGACACTGGGCCAGAAATAACAATACAGTCAGTCAAATTCTTTATGTGAACAGTTGACGGAGCACCAAATAATTTAATGGTACAAAAGTTGTTGTCAAATAAAGACACATCTTTTTTTTCCATGGCAGACTCGGGCATTTCTACACATTCATGAGATTTCTTTTGAATAGTGCAATCTGATAGCTGTACATTTTGGTCCTCAGCATATGAGGCTTTAGTTTTTGCTTCTTCCTCTTTTTTGTTTTCATCTTGTTTGACAGTTTTCTTTTTCGAAGAGAAGGCAAACTTCTTCTTTGGAAAAAGCTTATCTCTTTTTTCTTGAATAAGTGTCTGCAAATTACCCAGAGCTTCCTGACTCTGTCTGACGTCATACGAAGGAAGAAACATAGTGGAATCGGCATGGAACTTTTGAAGACCTTGAAGTCGCTCAGTTATTCTGTCAAGTTCATTAACCATCTCACTTTTAGGTAGCGTGTCGACTTTTTCTAGTGCAAGAAGTATATCGGATTTCTCTTTGTTGAAATTCTCAATGAAATACTTGGTACCTTCAAGTGTTGTAATGTTATTTTCTTTCTCTTGTTTTCTCTTCTGTAATTCAGCAAGACGCTCTTCTTCTCTTCTTTTTAATCTCTCAGTGACTTCAGTTTTCTTTTCTTGAATGGTGTCCATGGTTGTTTCTCTCGTTTCTGTGTTATCGCTTATGTCAATAAAAATATGTTAAATGTTCATGTATTAAACTGTTAAGAAAATAAACAAGGATATATATTTTCTGACTATCATTTTATCTTTAACCAATAAATCGATTATGAAAGCTGAATATCTAATTTTAAGGACGATCATTCCTTGTTTTAGTTGATACAAGCATGATAAGGAATTCTACCGCGAGTCTTGGTAAAATGAGTACCAAATATAACCGAGCCGGGTTCGGTCAATGAAAGGAGGTTTTAAATACCTCATTTCATCGACTGTACTTTACAATTCCAGTTGAAATTTACTTTAGGATAAAGGATATTTGCAGAAAGAATGCACTAAAATACACAAGAATCATGATAATTGTCGAGACGATTTTTTCCCAATTTAATAAAATTTATTAACCATTTTTATGACAACACTGTGCTATTGATATGTGCAAGCCATCTTTTAAAAAATCAGAGTGTATGATTGAAATCTTGTAAACTTCAAATGATGGAAGACAAGTAAAAGGAAAAACCTGGAGATGGAAAAAGGCGTCTAAATGGGAAAAATAAAAACTTTGAGATTAACACTTTCAATGTATACCGAGTAAAACAAATTTCAGATGAAGTAATACTGTACTCTGAGCCAGTCACTACAGTAACATCAGGGATCCATCTCAGAAAGAAACAATACATTTAGAAATGGAAATATATCTGGTATATTATCTGCAAACTTGCTGAAACAGACATTGATTCACAATAGAACTTTTAAATGCGAAGCACTATAGCTGTATGGCAAAAGATGGGATTAGACGAAAATCCTGAAAAATGAGAATATGGATTTAAATAATAGAATAATTTAAGAATGACTCTAATTCTTGGCCAAATTATTCGAGTATAACCTGGTTTGGGTCAGTTTACGCTTTATAATCCGCGTATCTAAGAAACGCCATCCAATTAAAGAATCATACCAACTGCATAACCATACCCTGGAAGATGTCCCAAGTGGTAAATACCTTGGTATCACAATTAGCAAAGATCTTTCATGGCGCGAGCATATTAACTCAACTTCTGCCAAGGCCACGAGAACAATTGGATTTTTAAGAAGGAACCTCAGAAGTTGCCCACAGGCTATCAGAAGCAAGGCATACACTACGCTAGTACGTCCAGTATTGGAGTACGCGTCAGTGGTTTGGGATCCTTTCCAACATCATTTAATCCAACATCTAGAAGATGCTCAGCGCCGGGCAGCAAGGTTCGCCACAGGTGATTACTCATCAAGGGACCCAGGAAGTGTGACCACCATGCTATACCAACTCGGCTGGGAACCACTGGAACATCGGAGGGCCCGGAACCGAGTGATCATGTTCTACAAGATCTACCATCACATTGTGGAAGTTCCGGTACATCATGTGCTACATGTCACCAATAGCAGAACCCGTGGTTCTATGGCAAACAAAATCCGCCAAATCAGCACCAGGGTTGATGTCTACAAATACTCATTCATACCAGCAACTATCATAGCATGGAACAATATACCAGCCACAATTAGGAATTCACCATCAGTGGACACCTTCAGACATGCAATACAGTCCATCAGCGTGTCTGATATTCTACACCACTAAATTGTCCACTTTTAAATTTTTATCCCTTTTAATACGGTGTACATAGATTTTTAGCTGTTCACTACGGAATTACTGGAGTTTTAACACTCAAATTGAGTTTACTCCATCAAGGGAAGAAGAAGAAGAAGAAGAAGAAAACAGCGTAAACTGACCCAAACCAGGTTATACTCGAATAATTTGGCCAAGAATTAGTCATTCCTTATAATTTAATTTTAAAATCATTAAATAACTATGGGTGTAAAATTTCGTAGCTTTTTGTTAGTTCAAATTTGCCGCTCATTAATACAACCATAGTAACGGAAGTGATGGGAAGCGAGGGGAGGTAAAAACTGATACATAGGCCTAGCAGCCATGTTGTTTGTTTACGTAAAGGAGAAAGACCGAAAACTGTCCATTCTGTGAGAGAAAGAACTAATCGAGGGCCGTAGGCCCGAGATTAGTTCTCTCTCTCACAGAATGGACAGTTTGAGGCCTTTCTCCTGCTTAAAACATGATTTCCTTTGTTCTGAAAATGAAGTAAAAAATTTACAAAACTGGTATCAGATATGACAGGTAGCACACATACAATGACAAGTTCATTGTTTACAGAATGGACAGTCACAGGTAAGGTAGGGATGCAGAGCAATTTGTTGAATCATGGCCGTAGGAACCGGGTGGGGCACGGGGCACGTGCCCCCCAATAATTTTGCCGATATATACCCGGTAGAATACTATAGAAAACATAGCTATTATATGCTTGTGTCCCCTCAATCATAACGTCTGATGACCGTTTTTTTTTTTTTTTTTTTTTTTTTTTTTTTTTTTTTTTGCTTGTCAAGAAATTTTGGTACTTGATAGTGCCCCCCCCCCAAACTGAAAATGTATGGTTGTGCTTCCTCAAAGTGAAATTGCTTCCTACGGGCCTGTTGAAGAGCCATTGTGTTTCCAGATGCAAATAACAAAAGGTCTTTGTCTTAAGAATGGACAGTTACAGGTGGATTTTTGGAATACTAGTATTTATACAAGTATGCGATGTTCCCAAATCAGTTTACAGTTTGCGTTGTAAAGGCATACAATCATGTTTTACTGTGATGGAGAGAGTATATGACAGAATCAAAATCTAATTAACCAAAATATGCACAAAATTAGTGATATTTGGATCTGGAAACAGAAAAGTAAGGGTAAAAGAAATAGCAGCCAAATTTTGACCCAAAAATGAACTTCGACGACAGATACAGAAGATCAAATTTGAATCAAACCTGGAAATGTTTTATTTGAATTCTGTTTTTGAGGATATATTAACTGCAGCAATGTAACGGTGAGATGCAAATTGTGTTTTGAGTGTTGGATTAGCCATGAGCCAATCTTCGACCTGAAAATGTTTTTCGAATCAAATCTGGAAATGTTTCATTTTTATTTTATTTTCTACCGAAATATTAACTGCAGCAGTGTAGTGTTCATGGTGCAAACTGTTTTCTGGGTGGAGGATTTAATATTAGAAGTACTTCTATCTGAAAATGAATTCTCCTCGAGGGAATAATTCTTCCGAAATTTTAATCAAATGTGAAATTTGGTCACTTGAATTCAAGTTTTGTGAAAATTAATTCTTTTAGTTATTTACATGTAAATTAAAAAGTATTTAATGTATTTGTTTTTGTTTCCCTCTTGAACACATTCCAAAGTTTACCTGTAACTCTCCATTCTGTTTGTTTTAACTGTCCATTCTTTTTGAAAAAAAACTGTCCATTCTTAAAAGAATGGACAATTTTCCAAAAAGAATGGACACTTACAGGTAACTTAAAGGATTGTTTGAGGATTTAGCTCAACATTAAGCTATAGAATGGACAACACAAACAAAATGTTTACGTCACAATCATGTTTTAAATGTGGTAAGATCGAATTATTGTTTGAAGTTAAAGGTACATGTATTAAATTTGGAATTTTCCCTAAATCCTGAGGACTGGAAATGAGAAGATTGTATGGATACAGATGATTCAGCTGGTTGTCAGGGGTGTGTGTCCCCATACCAAACCAGGTTATACAGAAATAATTTGTGTTCCTTTTTGGATTTTAACCAATCAGAGGCTAGAATACAAACAAAATTAAATTATATAAATATAACCTAGAAAGTAAAAAAAGCATAAAAAATATTAAATAATTGGAGGGAATTTACTTTGCGCGTAATAGTGTTCAAAGCAAGAGGAATTATTTTGCAAATAATAGTGATCGGTGTAAGAGGCATTACATTGCAGATAGTAGTGAAAAGAGTAAAAGGAATTACATTGCAAGTAAAAGTGACCAGAGAGAGAGAGAGGTATGACACTGCAAGTAATAGTGATCAAAGTAAGAGGAATTACATTGCAAATAAAAGTTACTAAAGTAAGAGGAAATCACTAGTATATTGCAAGTATTATAGTGATAGAAGAAAAATTACATTGCAAATAATGATAAAGATCAAAGTAAGAGGACTTACCACCATATTTGACATTGACCTTGGAGTTTGACCCAGTTTTGCAAACTTTTACCGAAATTAACATTGGCCATAACTTTTGAACAATTGGTGCTAGGGCTTTCATACTTCACAAGTGTAATCCTTGTGACAAGACCTTCCTTCGGATACCAACAGCTTTGACATTTTGAACTTGACCTAGGAGTTTGACCTACTTTTGAAAAACTTTAACCTTGGCCATAACTTTTGATTTGTTAGTGTTAGGGCTTTCAAACTTCACATGTGTAATCCTTGTGACAAGACCTTCCTTTAGACACAAACAACTTTGACCTTTGACCCTGACTTATAGTTTGACCTACTTTTGGAAAACATTAACCTTGGCCGTAACTTTTGAACGGTTGGTGCTAGGGCTTTCATTTTTCACATATGCAATTCTTAGGACAAGGCCTTCCTTTGGATACCAACAACTTTGACCCTATGACCTTGGCCTTGGAGTTTGATCTACTTTTGGAAAACTTTAACCTTGATCATAACTTTTGAATGGTTGGTGGTAGGGCTTTCATACTTCACATATGTAAACCTTGTGGCAAGACCTTCCTTTGGATACCAACAATTGTAATCCATTGACCTTGACCTTGGAGTTTGACCTACTTTTGAAAAACTTTAACCGTGGTCATAACTTTTGAACGATTGGTGCATCTGCTTTCATATTTCACCAGTGTATTTCTTGGGAGAAGGCCTTTCCTTGGGCACCATTAATTTTGACCAATTGACCTTGATGTTTGACATACTTTTGAATTTTTTTTTAACCTTTTCCATATCTATTCAATGGTTGCTGCTAGGGCTTTCATATTTCACGGTATATTTCTCGAGACAAAACCCTACTTTGGGTACTAATATATTTGATTTGCATTTGAGAAAGTTTAACCTTTGCTATAAGTTGCCATACGGGGGCATCAGTGTTTCACAAACACATCTTTTTTTTTTTTTTTTTTTTTTTTTTAAATGTTTAATAATGTAACTGTCAATACCTAATTAAATGTTAACGCACTGTCACACCAAGTTCTACGTTTTAGACACAAGAAAAAAGTATCAACAAAGCTGGCAAACGAAGAGGATTAAGGTAAAAAAAAATCAAAAAGACACAGCTTTAAACTAAGCTAATGCAACTCATTATAAATGCAGGAATAAATTTCCTCTGGCCTACACATTATCCTTCGGCTTTCATGACTGGTCGTATAAAACGTAGTTCTGACGTGTTTGACTTACTATATGCGTAACGCCTCAAGTTGAGAAAACGTTGCACATAATTTAAAACTACGGACATAAGTTATATGAAGTACACAGTTTCCCAGGGATGTACTTACTGTGACAACGTATGAGAAACTTACATACAAAGTACTTGAATTATACATTGCCTACCTGTTGTGTACGTCCAATTTATGACTAACTTATTTAACATGTGTAGAGAATTTTATCCTTAAACAGATGCACAAAATTTTGATGTGCATTCAGCGTACGCCAACTTTTACCACCATACTTCAGCGTGTTCGTATCGTGCGGAAATCATATCCCTAACGTACGCTTTCAACGCACGCTAGCGTGTTTGTCTTATTTTTCATACGTCGACATACGTTGATACTATACGTCGTAGTGGGACAGCCACTTTGAAACTTTCATGACCAAAGCGAGTTTTTTTTAATGACTGAGATGATTTAAATACCCTGCACGTTAAAGAAGAAAAGATCTTAGATAACATTCTATTCACAGGTTACTGCGTTCGTTGCAACCTACTCATTTATAGACGAGATGTTATTGATTCAGCTTGATATTTCTATGTGCATATGCACAAGAGTACATTAGACAGTGAAAAAATCGACATATACACCGAATGGAAAATCAGAATGAGGAAAAATCAAAACACTCGAAAACTGTGACAGAAAGTAACAAAATAAGTCAAACGAATTCCAAGAATGATTGTGAAAGTGGAAAATGCGAATTAAACAACGAGGATCTCGACAAAACGGATTTGCCACAAAAGGCATTGCGTCAATTGGTTAATCCACCTCCGCGTTTACGGCCACTCACAGATCTGCCAAAGAAAAGGGAAGAGGGGAGGTATTTCGAGAAATTAACTTCCGAAATAGTTGGAATAGGAAAAGATAATCCCTCAATAAGCACGACATTAGGGGATGGAACAATACAGAACCGAAATGAAAAGGATGTATCAAAGAAAGAGAATTCAACAAATACTTTCTTTTATTGTCGATTTATCGTAAAATTTCCTTTACTAGCTTTCTGTAAGTACAGTCTTCATTATATTATTTATTGAAAACAAATACCCTTTTTACAGGAACATAATTATTATTATTGGAAAGAAAAGAATCTAATCAGAACAAGTTGCAGAACACAAAGTTAAAAATGAGAATATTATGGTGCTACGTTTTGTCAGCTTTTAATTAAAGCGTAAATATCTCACTTCTTGAGAATAGATTTTTGTTAGTTTAACAACATCTATAACTTGTTAAACTGTCTTTTGAATTAAATGAGAAATCGTCTGATATAATTTTTAGAAAAATTATTCGTCTTAATTAAAAAAACTAACTTGAACATATAAATCGGAGAGAAATTCATGAGTATATTTTCATTTACTTTTGTATGAAATGTGGAGATAATGAACAGTGATCATGCCCAACGGTCCATTAAAAAAAAAAAAAACAATACAAATTGTGAACAAGGCCAACACAGACCTCTGAAAACAGAGGTAGGATCAGGTGCCATGTAAGAATAAACACCCCCATCGACTGGTCATACCTGCCGTTTACCCCTATCATAATCGGGTAAACGGCAAAATCCTTAAACAATTCAGTGTGAAAATAATGAGCTAACAATTGATATGAAAAACGTCAGTCAACATTCGATCTAACGATAGATTGTGTTTGCAAACAAGGTCTGTGTATCGACCATAGAATTTGCAAAATGTTGATTTTAAACGAGATTGTTGACATCCTTGTATCATCAATTTATATGACAATAACCTGCTCGTTTTAGAAATTGTTCGTACGTCGAACATGCTCTTGCGTATCGAATCAACTAAGAGACATAAACTTCATGTGTATTAAGTTATAATGGTATATATTGCAACACAAATAAGGGAAATTGATTATAAAAAAAAGTTGAAGTCATTACATTTATCATAAACTTAAGTTGTAAGTTTTCTATTAAAGTATTCCGCTAGTAAAGTATCCAAATATGAAACAGATGTGTCAGCCTCTTTGGAGTCTTTTTTTTTTCGAGTTCAATGGGATTATTTAAAATCAACGTAGGACTGAAAATGAATATTGGTAATTGATAATCTGAAATCTAAATGTTGAAGGCAATAGTCTTCTTCTTTTCATGCAAATTGTTAGAATAAATTCTGCTTCATATAAATACAAAAACAGGTCTGCGTATTTAGGTCTGCAATTAGGACCCATGGAAATTCCAAAAGATTGTTGGAAGACCTGGTCTCCAAAAAATACGTAGATAATGTCAAAGAGAAACTAAAGGATTTTTTTTAATTTCACCTCTGCGTACCTGGGTGCAGAATCAGAATATTTTTCACAAAATAAGTTTGCAGGTGACCATCGACAAGGTATGCAAATTTACTAGTTGAATTTTTATTGAAGACGCAGTTGTTTAAGATGTCAAAAGCACACAGCGGTGTGACCCTCGGCACGGAATGCTTACTTCTCCATTGCACCTGATCCCACCTCTGAAGTTCTTGAGGTCCGCGTTTGCTTTGCTCCCGATTTGTATTGTTTCAATGGACTTTTAAGCTTGAATACTGTTTGTTATCTCCATATTTCATTCTGTTGCAGTGTTGTCCTCTACAATACACATATTTGCAATAGTGACTACAGTAGCCCTGCTTGGCGCTGGGAAAAATGTGTTTCCCACGGATTTTAAAAGGTTACCCTTGGTCCTGTACGACGACAGCACTAGAAAGCAGGATCTGGCATGGCGCAGTAGAGACTCCTACTCCTTAAAGATAACGAGGCCTGCACTTGGGTTATACAATCACTATCCTACATGGGCGCGAGGACGGGTTGGGGATATCTTGGAGGTCATTTTACAAGTAGACAATGGCGATATTTTCAGCCAACCCAACCTCATACTTATCCAACAAATAGAAAATCTGATGTTCAATTTCAAGGATTATAAGTCCAGACATTGTCAAATTGACGAGTTTTATGAGTGTGTAAAACCTTGGTCGGTAATTCGCCTTTTTGATGGAACATACAACAGTAATAGTTCATACAACAGTAATACTTCAAAATTTAACAAATTAATCTTTAAAAACTCAAAAGACGTTTTGTGCAATGCAACGAAATCGGATGAAACAAAGGAGTTTGTTGAGTTCATTTTTCCCAAAGGATATAATCCATGTCGGCCCGGAAGTGCGTCATCTGTAACGAGAATACTTCTGCCAATGGGATATCCCCTTTGGGGCGAAAATAATAAGACTCGAATAGAAAATTTCTTAGTCAATGAAATGAAACCAAATATTGAGCATATTCGAGACAATATTCTTGGGGACAGAATGTATTTATACTACACAAGCGAATTAATTTTTGATAATGACGTCACACAGCAGGCCTTTGATGACATGTTATTCGCAATTGGGAGCTTTTTATTTATTTTTCTCGTTATGTGGATTCAAACTAAATCTTTCTTCATAACATTTTTTGGAATATTCAGCATTTTAACAAGCTTTTTACTGGCAAATTTAGTTTATCGATATGTGTTTAATTATGAATATTTTGGATTTTTTCACATCATTTCCATGTTTATCATTCTTGGAATCGGTGCAGACGATGTTTTTGTGTTTTACGATACCTGGCGCCTTACCGGTGATTGGGATTACCCGACAATGGCTCATCGCCTCACTGACTGCTACTACAGAGCCGCCAAGACCACATTTATAACATCTCTGACCACAATGGCAGCTTTCTTAGTTAGTGGTACCTCTCCGCTCCTTCCCGTGGCATCCTTTGGTCTTTTTACAGGTGTTTTAGTGGGTGTCAACTATATATGTGACTTGATATATTTCCCAACTGCTATTATTTTGTATTCAGAGAAAGTTAGACCTCGTAGTAACAGATTCTATTCATGGTTATTTGATACAAAATGTTTTAAATTTATAAAATGTAAAGTTTGTGAACATGAAACAGATATAAATGAAAACCAAGCAGAAACTGCAGGGTCTTCAACAACTTCTATATCTTTTGTGTGCTCCCCCCAACGGACAGTACAAGAGGATATATCGCATCTCTTTCCAGAAATAACCCCTAATCATAGTCAAACGCTTAATCATAGCCAAACAAATTTAAATAACCTACAGGAGTCAAAAAGACGTGAAATACATATAGCAAAAAACCTCAATGACCAAGGAAAAACAATGCAGAAAGAATTTGAAGACAGAATGTTAGTTGTTCGGTTTCTTCGTCATGGATTCTTGTCATTTATGTCTCTCAAAGTGGTCCGTTTTCTGATTCCAGTTATAGTCGTTGGAGTTTCGTCCTTTTTCATATACAGTGCTACTACCCTGGAACCCGACAGCAAACAGGTACGTTTTTTTTGGGGTGGGGGGTTAAAATTCATAAATTCATGCATTTAAAATTGTTTTCTTGCATGTAATATGCACAAATGTCCATATTTCAGGTAGAAATATTCCGATCCACACACAACCACGGAAAAGCTTGGTACCATCGTTACTACACGTTTCAGAGAAATTTTGAGGGAGAGTACACGAGTGTGTTCCTTGTATGGGGAATGCTGGGGAAGGATATGAGTACTTGTAATCGCAAAAAATCAGATTTCTGTGGGGGGACAATGGTGTGGGACGACACGTTTGACCCTTCGTCACCAGAGGCACAGAAGGCAATCTATGTAACTATAACCAATTCTAAGCAAGTACTCCCAATTTACTCATTTACACATTTGACAACAATTTTATATACATGTACTTTTATTTTGTTTGGGTTAGAATCTGTGTCAACGTTTGGAAAATGCAAGCGATTCAGAAATAAATCAACTGAAAATAAGAAGAAACGCCATTACTAACAAACCAGAAGTCAGTTGCTATCTGACAGCCATGGAAAGATTTCTTCGGGTATGAAAAACCAGTTTAAATATGAAAGTATATGAAAACTAGATATTGAAATGGTGACCATCTCAAAGGGTTTCGCTTTTAGGAGAAGGGCTTAGAATGAAAGGGAATTAGAAAGGACAATGTTTGTAGTTTATTGTTGACCTTTGACATAGATCTTTACCCATGGACACTTTTTGGGTGAGAATGAGCCAAATAGGAAAAATGTATGCTCATAAAAAGGATTTTATAAAGAAATCTGCTATGATTTTGACCTATGCTTTGGAAACTTGATTCAATGTCACTGCAAATCCATTCCTCACCAGAACTTCATGGGTGAAGGACGAGTTAGATTTGGCTAAAGAAAAGATAATGTTATATTGACAAGGATTTTTAAGGGATGTTTTTTAACCTTTGGGCAAAATTAGTTCACCATGCACATTCACCAACAAGTACGAAAAAGGTGAAGTATGAAGTATAGGGCAAAGGATTGATTGTTTGTCTGTTTATTGTTGTTTAACATCCCTCTCGAGAATTTTTCACTCATATGGAGACGCCACCACTTGCCGGTGGAGAGCTGCAAATTTTGACCTATACTTGGCATTTAGGGCCATTGAGAAGTGAGGGATCTTTTTCGTGCCAGCACCTACTGCGACACGGGACCTCGGTTTATACGATTTCATCCGAAGGATCGGTCTCCACGTCCCACAGTGGGAGTCGAACCCGCGACGTAAGGATCAACTCCTTACTTCGCGACTCAAGAGCAGACGCTCTAACCACTGCGTCACGCGGGCGACTATAGGACAAAGGAAAAATATGCTCACGACAAGGATTTCACAGCGAGAAATTTAACCCTTAAACTCTGACCAAGGAACTTGGTTCAGGTCATTGGATTTGTACACTCTCTACCCATGATAACTCAGTGGGCGAAGTATGAATCGGACTGGGTAAAAGAGAGTGAAAATAAGCTATGGACAAGAATTTTGCACAGAGATCTGCTCCGACCTTGATCTCTGACTAGAAACTTGATTCAAAGTCACTGCACATCCTTAACCCACAGGCCCTTTAGGAGAAATTTGAGCCTGCTTGGGTCAAGTGAAGAAAAAATGAACGCTGGACAAGGATTTTACATCTATAGATATCTGCTATGACCTTGTCCTTTGATCTAGAAAAATGACTCAAGGTCACTGCACAATTGCAACCTTTTACTTACAGGAACTATAGGTGAAGTTTGAGCAAGATTGGATCATGGAGAGAAAAATGATCCAGACAAGGATGTTAAACAGTGGTGTTTTTTTTAAATTTTTCTTTGATTTATATAATTGGTTCACGGCCACTGTACACCCTCTACCCATGCGTGAAGTATCAGCCAGATTGGGCCTGGGGGGAGAGAATACAGTCCTGGGACAAATGATATCGCATGGCCGTAGGAACCGGGGGGGGGGCGTGCCCCCCCCCCCCCAATAATTTTGCCGATATATAGAATACTACAGAAAACATAGCTCTTTTATATGCCTGTGCCCCCTCAGTAATAACGTCTGATGACCTTCTTTTTTTTTTTTTTTTTTTTTTTTGCTTGTCAAGGAATTTTGGTAGTTGATAGTCCCCCTCCAACTGAAAATGTATGGTTGTGTTCCCTCAAAGTGAAATTGCTTCCTACGGGCCTGTATCGGACGGACAGATGAATGGATAACAGGTTCCAAATTACTGTGTTTTGTGCTTATTTAATTTTGTGTACTTTTGTGTATTTCATTTATACAGGAAGATGTCCAAAAGTCGGAGAAGGCCTACCCTTCTGATCTGAATGTTGGTATTCCATTGGATGAGGTCAACATGACAAAATTCATGACTTCCAACCCTCGCATCTATGGTTCACAACTTACTCTCCCTAAAGACTATAACAGATGGCTGGAGGTAAACGCTCAAATTCACACAGTTTTCAAACAGACAAAAACACATATAGCTTATAGTTATTTACTTAATACTGTCGGAGTCATGCTCAAAGATCCGTGATCCGATCACCTGATTACGCAGTTTGCAAAGTCATCCAAATAGACGTGAATGGATCTATAGCTGGATACACCTTGTTATATTGTAGATTGGACTTGGTTATTGGCTAACCAATAAGTATACAGGCAGGGTGCATCCGGACTATTTTATGTATGATCACCTTATTGGAGAAGAATATGTTGTGGGAGAAACAAATATAGCAGAGAACACGTATTTCTATGGCATGTCAAATGTTGCAATATTCGATCTTTTCCATTTGTATTGTATAATTTTTATTTATTTATTCATTTATTTATAATTTTCCATTGGTTTTGAATAATTTTCCATTTGTATGATTTTTATTTGGATTTTATCATTTTCCATTTGTATTCTATAATTTTCCTTTACATGTATATACATGGCCGTAGGCTTGTCAAGGAATTTTGGTACTTGATAGTGCCCCCCCCCAACTAAAAATGCATGGTTGTGCCCCCTCAAAGTGAAATTGCTTCCTACGGGCCTGTATATACAATACAAATGGATATTTATTCATAAAAGACTGATACCAATAAATTTAGTGTTGCTTTATTCGTCATCTTAATAAAAAAGAAAAACATTTAAAGTACTTGTACCCGAAAAAAGAATCTTTTTTCTTATAATTTAGGACTATTTTACGGTTCAAAGCTTAGATATTTTGGAATTCAAGTCAATTTAACAGTAAGAGTTAACACCCTTGGGTACAGTGAAGGAGGACCGCTCTATCGTGCATGGGAACAGTTTATGAGCGATAAAGTAAGTACAATTAGGATCCGACGACACACTCCTTAAATATCTGTTTTATTTCTCCCTGTAATATATAAGAAATATTCATTATACATTGTATTAACATTATCTTGTGATTCCTAAAATGTTTTCAAAATGTCTTAGAAAATAAATACAACATGAATTGTGATATTGACAATTCAGGTGATTTCAAATAGGATTATATACTAGGAAACACCATCCTCTGGTCCCAAAACCATAAACTGAGAACGGACTTAGGTCAAAATTTCAAATCAGTATAATTTCTGAATGAATTTTGATGATGATTCATTTTATTTCATTATTAATGAAACAAAATTTACAACATGTTTATGAATTTATGTTTTAAACAAACCTGCAAATTTTTATGTACATATGTTAAATAAAACTTAGATATTAAAAGTGAAAATTTTGACTTAAGTCTGTTCTCAGTTTATGGTCTTGGGGCCTGGTATCTAGCACAAATGCTTAGTAAGGTATCTTAAATTTTTGTGAGGAAACTTGTTATTTAAAGTATCAGTGCTTCAATGACAAATTCTTGGGAAAAATTATACATTGTTGAGGAACGTGTCGCCTGACCTTAAAATTGAATAAAATTAAGTAAAAAAAAATTTCATCTTTAAATAATTACGTGAATTTTTATCTTGAACAAAATATTTTCGACTTTTTAGAAAGCAAAAATGCCACCATCTCTAAAGAATGGATTCCAGTGTACAAGAAATACATGGCACTCGATACGAGTTCAGGAGGTATGAAAGACTGAGTGGCTCAGGTGTTTTATACTTTTTAAATCATTTAATTATGACGTATTTGGAATTAAATCGTAAACAATTTTAATATGTAAAATATCTGCACGTCAGGTGATTAGAGGCACAGTGAAAAGTCATAAAGTCTTAAAATTTATCGCAATCCCTACTTGGCAAACAGCATCTGAAGTTAACTAACGATTATAATAAATGTCAGGGAAATGTAATGGAGCTAAACATGTATCCTCTTATTTACATTCAGAGGCAGATAAAAGGTTTTTAAATCACATGAGCAAAAGCTTCATTAGTGAGTTTTCTAATCGAAATTCGTTGTTGTCGTTGCTGTTATAAACTTTTAATTTTTCATATTCTTTTCCAGAACCAAAAGGTCAAATTTTGTTTAACTTGCCACAAAGGTTTCTTGGGTAAAGGAGAATCAAGTTTGTTTGTTTGTTTGATTGAAAGATTGATTGTATGTTGTTTAAAGTCTCATTCGAGAATTTTTCACTCATATAGAGATGTCACCGTATGCCGGTGAAGGGCATCAAGGAGGGTGTTGCAGTTCTTTTGTTATTTTCCCTTAAGCGGTAGCAGTTTAAAAGAAAAATTTTAAGTAACAGAAAACGGTCTTAATTTTCTCCAGATACAACGGTGTATACAGCACAATGTAGAACAATATTTAGAAACTGCATATCGACTTCTAATTTGCCATTGCATGAAGTGTAAATAAGTCACATAGCAAAATAAGTCAAGTTTTCTATTTTTCAAATAAGGAATCCCCATTGTTCTGAAAAACTGCCTCCTTGAAACAGAATGAATTTGATATACGCATAAAGAGACAGGATTTTTCTTCAAATCTGCCATTTCCGATTTTTGTTTCAAAGAGGCATATTTTTGAAAATCACAAAAACCGAAAAAAAAATTATTATCCATCCGAAATGCAAAATGTGCAAATTTAATACCACATCATACTTCACTGTCGTAGCTGGTCTAGTGGTAAAGCGTGTGGACTATATGCAAAGATTCTTTTACCAGAGAATGGGTTCGAATCCTGGAATGGCTGGAATATGTACATATTTTTTTTCTTATAGAATGGAAGTACAATGTAACACCTCTCTTGAGAGAGAGGGAGAGAATGTCAGATAGTTAATGGGTAATATTATATATTATATATATATTATATGTGGGTAATATTTAAATGCATCCAGAATTAAATTGTTTTCCTTGATATTGTGATCTAAAACTAATAAGACACATATTTAATGTTATTATTTAGTGGCGATGTCTTAAAAAATAAAGGTCTATCATTGGAAATGATTAAATTTTTTCATACGCATTTCGTTTCATTATTGTTCTGTTAATTAGTGGCTCAAATTTGACTTGAAACAACTAAATTGAAATGACTTAATGGAATTTCTTGGATATTGCATCAACAGCGTGATTATTGGATTCATTTTTATATATTGAAAAATATTAACGCACGCTGTCTACAGTACATCTTTCAAAATGATGTGCGAGGTGCACTTGCCACTAATTGTGCTTTTTATCGTTTTAACTTTTCTCGTGCAAAATGGCGACAGTGACCATAGATGTGAAAAAAAAAGTTTACTTACAGGTCGCCAGTCTATGTTAGGAAAAAACAATGCATGAGATAAACGTAAAATGTGAAATGTTTTGTTGTAACAAGCTGGACATACCCGTCATCTACGTAGCTCTATCTATATTTAGAGATAAATCTTTAAGCGCCGTGGGGTCGCCCGCGTGGCGAAGTGGTTAGAGCGTCTGCTCTAGAGTCGCGAAGTAAGGGGTTGATCCTTACGTCGCGGGTTCGAATCCCACTGTGGGACGTGGAGACCGGTCCTTCGGATGAGACCGTATAAACCTGTAGCAGTAGGTGCTGGCAAGAAAAAGATCCCTCACTGCTCAATGGCCGTAAGTGCCGAGTATAGGACAAAATTTGCAGCTCTCCACCGGCAAATGGTGGCGTCTCCATATGAGTGAAAAATTCTCGAGAGGGACGTTAAACAACATACAATCAATCAATCAATCATGCGCCGTGGGTATTTAAATGTCCTTTTCGATTTAGGGAATAATCACGAGTTTCTGCAACACCCTCTTTAGACCTATATTCGGCACTTGGCAGTGAGTGCCAACATATACCGTAACACGGGACCTCGGTTTTTAAGGTCTTATCCAAAAGACCCTTGACTTTCACTTCTAGTGCCGGGTGCTTGGCGAAGGAACAGTCACTACCTATGTTTACGCCTTGGTTTGACGCTGCGCGGCAAACGAGAATCGAACCCGGGCCTCCCGATCACGAAGCGAGCGCCCTCCCACTAGGCTACCGTGACCGGTAAAGTTTGTGTGAAAGAAGTGCCATGTCTCCTTTCCAAGGAATGATTATCAAGAAAAGGCAAAATAGTGTAGAATTATTTAAAAATCTTCTTCCAAACGCCGAATGCGTTTATGCATAAAATTATCACACAAGCCAATCGCTTGATCAACATCATAAAACCAAAAAGTCGAACAGTTATTCCTGATATTTACATGAATCCGTAAATTCAAGTGCTCGATCCAAGCCCCGCCCACTTCTCTTTCTCCCAATCCCTCTCAGCACTTTTTTTTAAACCATGCCTATCGATGAACTAAAAGCTTTATGAAGAAATCAAGGTTTTTTTATCATTTGTAGTTTTATCTCAGACAAAGATATATTAAATGTAGATATACAGGAATATAGAAAAAAAATTCTTTGAAATCTTCTCAAAAACAGCAAGGCTATGATTAGCCATTTCAATAAGCAAGTATCTTCAGTATACATGTAGTTTAAATTCAAAACTTTAAAACAATAGTCATAGCACCAGAAGAAGAAAGAGGCCACAGTTAGGGATCAAAGTTTTACACAGGAATACATGTATTTAGGGAACTTTATTCTAAGAACAGTGACCCCAGGGGTTAAGACTTGGCAAAAATTTGGGCTGAATTTTTTTAATAATGCGGAAAGAAACTTAAAAAATCTTAACAAAGGGAGACAGCAGGGTCATGTCGTATGAAGTTTTGTTAAATCGTAACCCCTTGAGGCTAATTTGCGGCCAAAATATGGGGTCATTTCTTTATTGGAATAAAACAAGGAAAACTGATGATGACGAACAACAGGGCCAAAGTGCCTCGGTTGAGCAATGTGGCATATGGGCCTCGTGTTTCTGTTTTTAAAAAGAAAACTTATTGGAATGTTGAGCAAATTGCTTAATATTTCAAGATAATACATCTAGATCACAGTAGATGCTATGTATGATATAGAAAATATTATCAAGAGTAGTGTCCTTTACAGAAAATTAAAATTTTTCCATTATTGTATATGACAATTGTCATATACCAATTTAAATAGAAAATTTCTAATTTTTTATAAGGGGCATTACTAATTATTAGTTTCTTATACCCTAAACCCCTCTTGTAGGTGCTCTCAGAGTCGGCATACTTTGGAATACTTATTGGTTTGTCTCTGGCTCTGCCAGTTCTAGTCCTCACCACCATGAACTTCATCATTGGGTTTTTAGCGTGGGTCATTATTGCACTGGTGACGGTGTGTGTCTTGGGGTCTATACCTCTGCTTGGCTGGAAATTAGGGGTATGTATAAAAGACGCTTCTGATATAAGTTAATCATCAGAATCTCTATTTGCGTCATTTCAAATCGTGAGCTATAGCTTCATATATGCAGACATAATGTCCTAATTTGTGTTCTGATAAGATGTTGAAGTATTTAGTTACCGGGTATTAACTCAGCATTTTCAACTTCAACTAAGTCTGAATGATATAATTCAAAAGTGGTTAGGTGGTTTTTATTTCAGTTATATAAATGAAATACTGACAAAACATTTAAATATAGCCAATACTCTTGAGAATTAGCAAGATTTAGCAAGATTTAAAAAAAATGTTTTGAATGAATTTATCTGTATACACATGTATATGTTACACGCCTTATTTGTATGTTGTAATTTACCAAGAAACTTTTGGTTAATGATGACAAGGTTTTATTATTTTTTGACTAGGTCCTCGAGTCCCTTAACCTGTGTATGGTGGTAGGCCTAGCTGTGGATTATGTTGTACACTTGGCAGAAGCTTACAATGTTTCACCAAATATCACGCGAAAGGACAAAACTCGGAACATGCTGGAAAAGATGGGACTTTCTGTCCTCTCAGGTGCCTTCACAACATTTGGGGCTTCTGTGTTTATGCTGGGTGCTCATATTAAGTTTGTTTATGAATTTGGAATATTTGTCATGATTACTGTATTTACATCCTTGTTTTTCTCTTTGTTTGGTTTCACTTCCTTCCTGTTGATCTTTGGACCTGAGGGAAATACAGGTTCTATAACGGCATTGTTTAAAAAAAAATTTTGTTGCAAACAAAATCGCCAATTTAAACCAAATGGGGGAAAACCCTTGTCCATGCCCTTTCCCCCAGAGCTTGATCCGCCCATGTTTCCTAATAGTCTCAAATCCAATGTGCCAAAATTAGTTCAGCTTGGAGTTCAGTCGTATTTGTAATATAATATATAACTGCATGTTTATTTAAGATATATTTACTTTTTATACTTCCTATATATTGATCTCGATGAAATATTTTTGTTGTTATTTTATTACAGCTTATTTTTATGGTTTTTAATTTATTCACCCTTGTTTACAGCTTGTTGCTGGAAGGTACATTTCATTCCAGGTATTTTTGAAAATCTACACGGCTCCTTTTTTTTAAAAAAAACATTTTATGTCTGGCATTTATTAAATAGTGCTTTTCTGGAAATTAAATTGAACTGACTTCAAATGCAAGTAAACAACTTGACTAGAAAATATCAGGTGTCTACGACAAAAATTGTACTTACTGAAATATAATACAGCATATATAGCCTTGTACAAAAAAAAAAATCTAGACTACAAAAGAGCCAGTGCTTCGGCCATTAATTTGAAATCATGAAAAAAAGTTATCAAGTGCTATGTAAGTTACAGTAATGTTTTGATTCAATTCTGATGAATTTCAAATTCTATAATGCTTCCCAGTACTCTCAGCACTTTGATTTTGTAATTCTTTCTATATCGGGTAAATTTTCCAGGATAACTTTTTGTGCGATATGCATTCATTTGATGTTATCACTACTCCAAGGGAATATTTAATCAACTACGCGTATGGTACTATGCATTCCACAACCTTTCCATGCAATGTAAGATCAAGATGCTTTGTTATAACTGAAGAATAATAAAACAGTCACACATAAATAGCTTTTGTCGTATGATTGAATTTCTAGCTCGAAATCCAACATTGTAGAAAAAATACTACATTATACTGACCTACACATGAACTTCTAGGTCAATATAAGGATTATTTTGTTCTACATTGGACCAAAAATAAATTGAGAACTTCTAAAATGATACAATTACTTCTGAGAGGTTAATTTACCTGCAACCGACTTCAACTTGGGGGGACATAACATCCGGCCATAGAAGTCTTTGTCCCCCCCCCCCAACCACCTCCCCCACGCACTCGAAATTAGAATAGGAGAATTTTGGCTTGTTGAAGTTTTTTTTTTTAAAGTAAGTTGTCATTTTCCCCCCGTAACACCCCCCCCCCCCCGCGTTCAAAATTGAAGTTACTCGTTGCATTTCACCAAAACAGATTAAGAAATTCAAAATTAATACAACGGTTATGTTTAGTTTAACCTCGCTTCTCTCAATGCTTTATACGAAAGACTTTGAGTCAAACTACGGTAAAAAAAATTTAAAAGGCGTAATAACGCTTTTTTAAAAGGAGTATAATAACGCTTTTTTAGAAAGGCGTAATAACGCCTTCTGAAAAGGCATAATAACGCATTTTTAGAAAGGCGTAATAACGCCTTTTGATAAATAGAGAATAATACATGGCAAAATCTGTATCACACCCCATATCAACCCGAGACTCCAATATCAGCCCGAGGGCCGAAGGACAGAGGGCTGATATTGGTCGAGGGTTGATATGGGGTGTGATACAGATTTTGCCATGTATTGTTGTTTTTATTATATATTTGAAAATAGTGTCTTAAAATCATTTATAAACTTGTAAATTAATTACTGAATTTTTAATAATTTGAATGTGTTCTGTTTTTGTTGAATTTCCATTTCTCATTTTTTTTTCCCAAAGGCATTATATTCAGTGATAAGAAATGAAATAATTACAAATTTAAAAAATAATTATTTTGAACAACATTAAATACCCGATGAAATAAGATTACAATTTAAATAAATTCATTAACAATTAAATTAATAGAAAAAGATCCGAGGTACTCCGAATGAAAAATACAGAGATGTTCCGGATATGTGTAATAAAGGGTGTGATAAAGGGTAAAATAAAGGGTGCCGATACAGGGTGTGTATTGCAGGGCGCGTGCCTGTGTTCATATCAGGGATGCAAAAACCCTGTATTATATTACAAATATATAATAAGGCATAATAATGCCTTTTAGAAAGGCGTAACGACGCCTTTTTGCGTTAAAACGCCTTTCGAAAAGGTGTAATAACGCCTTTATTTGCGTTATTAAGCGTTTTCCGCGATATAACCTCTATTGAAAAGGCGTTTTTACGCCTTTTTTCGCGCTATAACGCCTTTGAAAAGGCGCTATAAAACCTTTTAATTTCTTTTATCCTAATAGGCTTTCGTGCAGGGAAAATATATATATTAACTTTTTTCAGCAAGGATTGCAAACGTTACTGACAGTGTAACGTTGAATAATGACCCGGGGTTCTTTTTCAACGTAAAATATTTAACCGGGGGTGTTTTTCTCTCTGTTGAAAATTGAGACCAAAAGTCGTGATTTATACGGGAGTTCGCGTACCTATCAATTTTACCAAAATCTTCAGTAAATATAAAAAATACGTAATACCCATAATAATAACACGTATTTTTTATATTTACTGAAAATTTTGGTAAAAATGATAGGTACGCGAACTTCTGTGTATTTTTCCAGCTTGGTATTTTTTTTTCTCTCTAATCTCTCCTGACCTCAAAAAGTTGAAAATTGACCCTGTTGAGTATTGACTCCAACTATAGAGTTTTGAACTGTCTTTGAATTGGAAGTTGTTTTACGCAATTTATCTGCATCTTTTTATTAATAATTCAGTTTCAAAACGTTTATTTTTCCAGAATAATAAAAATAGGTCTGAGATCATCTCGAATATATAATTATGTGCGTTGTGAAACAGTACACGATTTAACTTATTTTCATCTTTGAGGGCACGGTTGTCCATGAAAACTTACGTAATCTTTGCCTTTAACATGTCGGATCTTTATGTCGACTTGTCCGATAAACATCCTCATGAACTCGACATCCTGTTTTCAAATTGTGTTAATACCACTAAGAGGATGACCATTTGATTCTGAATGGGGATGGGGGTGGGGGAATTTTTCGAGTCAGATTATTTATTTCAATATCCAGGCCTTCTTAGGACAGACTACTTATTTCTAAGGTGACCAGGGACAGATTTTTTTTTTAGTTTCTTCACTGGAAAGGTTCGCAAAAAAGAAAAAAAGGAACTACGAAAAAAGTTTATTGGGGATCGAGGGTTCCGCCCAGCCAATGGTTAACTACAAAACTATTTCACGAAGGGGGTAAGATCCAGTGAAGGTAAGATTTTCTTTCCATAGTAGAGGACATTTTATTTTAAATTTTCAAGGACGGATTCGCAGGGGGTCCAATGTCATATTTTACTACTTTATTATTACGCTGAAAATCAGGGTTGGGTGTTCAAGCCAGAATTTTTTTTAAACGGAAAAAAAAATTAAAAAAAAGGAACGAAGATGAACAAACTAAACACAAACAACAAACCAACAAATCAGAATCATAAACAAACAGAAACTTTTTAGGGGTTGGGTTAGGGGGTTAATGAACACTTCTGAAGCACTAGCTGATCTAATACATAATCTTAAACACTTACAAGGGATCCATGTTACCTTGGATGGTACTATTACATTTACTATAGATATTAAACTCTGAAAATCTCCAAAAGGGGGAGGGGGTGCCGACCCTGCCCCCGCTCGATCCTGTACTGAACAAAATAAGTAAGTATCACAGAGTTCGTTGTTTAACTATTTATTGAAATAAGGCAGTGAAAGTCCTATAGAAAGATCACTTTAAGTTTAAGCTGTTATAAAAAAATTCCGGTTTTCAAGATAAATATAGTTGCTTCTTAGTATGTGCATGAAAAAGTACAGGTATGCGTCATGCTTCAAACCTCCAACATTTCCCAAATGCTAAAATTACGAATTTTAGAAATATTTAGGAAGAATAGTGGTTGCAGTTAGCCTATTGTAAATGTAAACAAACGTATTTCTGAACTAAATAGTATGTTGTGTTAACCATGTATACTAATATTCTCTATTTAGATAATTTTTCCTTTATATAAATATTACCTCAAACATTGCGAGTATACGCGAAACATACACTACAAATAAATTACTAGCATATATATTTTAAGGGTTCTACGAAAAATTTGAGCCTTCCTCTTTAAAGTGTTTCAAGTTTTGAACAGACTGTCCATTTGAAATTGTCCTTTTAAAATTAAAGAAATTAACATGTTCATCTAAAGAATAAAAATGAATTAAGTGTATATTTTTTATTGATTAAATCATAGTTGTGAATATCAATTCATTAATCTATATTTTATGTCGTTGAATTAAGAACCGGTTTCATGATCTAAATTCCACGATGCGGTTCAATTTTCAGAAGACTAGGGTCTAAATTCAACACTTTTGGTTTCAATATTTAACGTTGAAAAATGACCCCCACCCCCTGGGGATCAAATTTCAACCCGGATCACAATTCGACGTTACCCCCGCATTAACAAAGAAATATATTTTATTGTTAAATATTTATTTAATATTTAATACCGTTATTATAGTAACGAAAGCGATATAGCACAGTTTTCTGTAACATGCAATTTGTAGGTACATGATTGTCACAAATCGAACGATTTATATATATATATATATATATATATATATATATATATATATATATATATATATATATATATATATATATATATATATATATATATATATATATATATATATATATAAACCGCAAGACGTTCCGACCGATTAATCGGTTAATCGTAATATTATACACATTTTTTGACATTATATTTTTTCAAGTAACTCTTTCATATACACAAGTAGACTGATATAAAGACGCTAGAAGTTAGGAATATTCTGTTTATTATCTCGATCAGGAAACTTAATATGTACCTATCTTTTATTTCAATTTCAATAGACAAGAAAAATTATAAGAAAAACATGAATTTTGCCTGAGAAAACAGACGCAGATAATTTTCCAGTGCACACACAAGTTCAATCTGCATTGACACCATAATCACAACTATGCCTGAACTTTCACTGTCCAATCTTTTTCTAATACTATAATTTAAAAGATAACGGCAAAAGAAAGGCAAACTAATTAGCTCTACGTTGTTTTATTTAATATCATTAAAGGATTACAGGATAGTCTGGTTAAACGATTTGATGTTTTTAAAATCAGTAATTAACTCACCACAAACTGACCAATTAGCCGCGAAGCCATAATTACGCCCTGACAACCTTAATTATTAGGTGTGTAAAAACCGTAAATGATCAACTCTTATGTGTTGAAGTTTCCTTTCTAAAAATGAATTTTAAGAAAATTGCGTTCAAATTTGAATATATTTTATTTTTTTCCGATTAACCGATTACGGATTTTCTAACTGATTACCATCGTTCCGACCGATTAATCGATTAACCGGTTACAAATTGCCATCCCTAATATATATATATATATATATATATATATATATATATATATATATATATATATATATATATATATATATATATATATATATATATATATATATAATTATTACGCCCTTTTAGAGTATTCAGTAGTTCAAATCATTATTCCAACGAGTTCTTTTTTTAATCCCTTTTAATTTTTAATCTTTTTTTAAAGCTGTAATTATCAATATTGCTTCTCTCTGTCAAATTTTAAAATTAGAGTCAAAAATATAGAACTGAGTTGGTTTGTTAGGCCGTGTCACTTAATTAATCGATTAATGCTCAATTAAGAACTATAATTAAATATTCTGTCTGTAGCACAATTAACTCCTCACGCCTGGTGCTCATATATCTGCATTAATTATAACTATAGGTCGGTGTTCCCAATACGCGTGCTTCCAGACCAGCTGAGAAATAAGAGACTTCAAAACTTCAAAGAAATTTATCATTAGTCTAAATCGTGTATTCCAATTTCAAAATAGGCATTTTTCTAATGTAAATACCACTGATATAATTATCTCTACTATCATCCTCCCAACGTCAGAGGTCCTGAGTCCGCACCTGGACGCTCCACGAGTGGACTCAGGGCCCCTGGCATTGGGAAGATACTATGATATAGCCAAAGAAACAATTAAATTCGTTAGTGATTTTTTTTTTTTTTTTTTTTTTTTTTTTTTTGGTAAATTGATGCTAAGTTTTATATCCTTCCATATCTGTGTTTGTATTTTCGAGATATTGGAGAGCAACGGCGAGGTATTACATGTAGTTATTTTTTTTTAAACAGAGGATACATTGCGGGAAAATAACATTATTTTAGTCATAAAAACAAAACGATTTGGACTAATAAACTCTCATGTTTTTAAATTAAAAGGGTAAATAATCATAAAACATATAAGGCCCCCATTTTTCTGTTGCATCATAACACTTACGTTAGAAATAAAGGAAAAAAAGAGTACATTTTATCAAAATAATAGCAATAAAATAAAAGATGTGTAACTATTTCACTGAAATTTCAGAGAGATAATAAATGAATCGAGGTGCGACGTTTTCTTAGGAAGAACAAAACAAAACTTCTTAATAATATAATTGCCAATACCCAATTAAATGTTACTTTCACGATCAAAGCGAGAGGCTTTAATTACTGTGACGATTTGAACATGTTTCAACGTGCAGCGAAGAGAAAAGAACTAAGCTAACTATACCACAAAACACTGTGTCTATTGAAACCAAGTCATTTAACTATTGATATCGGATTTAGCTTGATATTTCTATGTACAAGGATCGAGACATAGAAGACAGTGAAAAAAAAAAACTCTAATGGAAATTCAAAATGAAGGTACCTCAGAATATTCAGCATATGTGAAAGAAAATGACCAGCTGACAAATTCTAAAAATGATTACGACATTGGAAAATATTGTGAAATAAACGACAAAGACATTCTTGGCAAAACGGATTCATCAAGAACGGTCTTGGGGCAAAAAGTTAAACCTCCTCCGCGCTTAGAGCCCCTCACAAAAGTACCGAAGAAGAGGAAAAAGAGGAGGTATCTAAAGAAGTTATCCTCCCAAGTTGGAATAGGAACTGATCCCCCCTCAGTGGTAACAAGAAGCACTTCATCAGGGGAGGGAGCAATAAAGGACCAACATGAAAAAGACGTATCACAGACGGAAAATTCCTATAAAACATTCTTTTATTGTAGATTTATTGTGAAATTTCCTATACTAGCCTTCTGTAAGTTCAGTCCTTTTTCATTTATCGATAAATACAAAACAAATACCGTCTTTTAATTCAATAGACATGTCCATATTGAAAAGAACTCCGAACAGAACAATGGTACAGAACACGAAGTTTAAAATCATAGTGTAAATATTATCTGATTGCTACGGTTTAATACTTAAAATAGATCTCTCACTTCTACAGTATATCGATCATCAAAGACATTAGAAAAATTAAGATAAGTGTAAGTTTCGCAATGTTATAAAATTGTTTTATTCTTTTACGTGTGAAAGAACTAAAAAAAAAAAAAACAAACATATAAATTGATGACAATAACATTAAATAATAATAATAATAATAATTTTTACGTTTCTGACAATTCTATTTCTGTTGCAGTGTTGTCCTCTACGATACACATATGTGCAATAGTGACTACAGTATCCCTATTTGTTTCTGGGGATAATGTGTTCCCCACGGATTTTAAGAAGCTGCCCCTGGTCCTGTATGATGACAGTACTAGGAAGCAGGACCTGGCCTGGCGAAGTAGAGACTCCTACTCCTTAAGGATAACAAGGCCTGTGTACGGGATATACTATCCTACATGGGTTGGAGGACAAGTCGAGGATATTGTAGAGGTCATCCTACAAGTGGATAATGGAGATATATTCAGCCAATCCAACCTCGTACTTATCCAACAAACAGAAAATTTAATGTACAATTTCAGGGATTATAAGCACACTTACTGTCAAAGAGACGAGTTTTTTGAGTGTGTAAAACCTTGGTCGATAATTCGCCTTTTTGATGGTACATACAACAGTATTAATTCAAAATTAAACAATTTTACTTTTGAAAACTCAAAGGAAGTTTTGTGTAATGCAACGAAATTGGATGAAACAAAGGAGTTTGTTGAGTTCATATTTCCCAAAGGATATGATCCATGTCGGTCTGGAAGTGTGTCATCTGTTACCAGAATACTTCTGCCAATGGGATATCCTCTCTGGGGTGGAAATAGTAAGAGCCGAATAAAAAATTTCTTAGTCAATAAAATGAAACCAAATATTGAGCACATTCGCGACAATATTCTTGGGGACAGAATACATTTGTACTACACAAGCAAAATGATTTTTGATAATGACGTCACAAAACAGGCTTTTGATGACATGTTATTCGCAATCGGGAGTTTTCTATTTATTTTTCTCGTTATGTGGATTCAAACTAAATCTTTCTTCATAACATTTTTCGGAATATTCAGCATTTTAACAAGCTTTTTATTGGCAAATTTAGTGTATCGCTATGTGTTTAATTATGAATATTTTGGATTTTTTCACATAATTTCCATGTTTATTATTCTTGGAATCGGTGCAGACGATGTTTTTGTGTTTTACGATTCTTGGCGTCTTACTGGTGATGAGGAGTACCCGACACTGGCTCATCGCCTCACTGACTGCTACTTCAGAGCCGCCAAGACCACATTTATAACATCTCTGACTACAATGGCAGCTTTTTTAGTTAGTGGTACCTCTCCGCTCCTTCCCGTGGCATCCTTTGGCCTTTTTACAGGTGTTCTAGTGGGTGTCAACTATATATGTGACTTGATATATTTTCCAACCGCTATTATTTTGTATTCAGAGAAAATTAGACCACGAACTAACAAATTCTATTCATGGTTATCTGAAAGATGTTGTTTTAAAGCTTTGAAATGTAAGGTTTGTAAACACGAAACAGACTTGAATGAAAATCAATCAACCACCGGGTCTTCAACAACTTCCATATCATATTTGTGCTCCCCCCGACGAACAGCGAAAGAGGACATATCGCGTCTCTTCCCCCAAAAAACCCATATTCATAGCAGAAAAAAATTAAATAACTTGCAGGAGTCCGAAATACAGAAAAATTCCGAAGAAAAAGAGCCCACAGAACAACGGGAAAAGATTAGGAAAGAATTTGAGGAGCGGATGTTAGTTGTTCGGTTTCTCCGTCATGGATTCTTTTCATTCATGTCCCTCAGAGTGGTCCGTTTTGTCATTCCCATTATATTCCTCGGAGTTTCCTCCTTTTTCATATACAGTGCTACCACTTTAGAGCCCGACAGCAAACAGGTTTGTTATTTTTCAACAAAATTCATAATCCATATTCGAAGCCTTAATTGTTGTCATTGGCGTTCAATGCAAAAATATCCTTATTTCAGGTACAAATATTCCGATCCACACACAACCACGGAAGAGCTTCATACCACCATTATTACACGTTTCAGAGGAATTTTGAGGGAGAGTACACAAGTGTGTTCCTTGCATGGGGAATGTTGGAGAAGGACACGAGTACATGCAGTCGTAAAAAATCCGATTTCTGCAGCGGGACAGTGGTTTGGGACAACACATTTGACGCCTCGTCACCAGAGGCCCAGACGGCAGTCTATGTAACTATAACTATATTTGAATACTAATATCTTCCATTCCATAACTCATTTATTTCAACCATTTTTGGTTTTGTTTTTACATTTGGTCTAGAGATACATTCATTTTTTTTTAACTATAGAATTTGTGTCAACGTTTGGAAAATGCAAGCGATTCAGAAATAAATCAGCTGAAAATAAGAAGAAATGCCATTACTAGCAAACCAGAAGTCAGTTGCTATTTGACAGCCATGGAAACATTTCTTCAGGTATGACTTTAATTTAAGACCATTTAAAAATGTAACTTACTGTAAGATTAGTGATTTATTACTAAATATTAGGATCAGTATTAGTATATTTCAAGAGAAAAAAATGTCTGCTACACACAGGAAGACGTTCAAAAGTCTGGGAGTTTTTACCCTTCTGATCTCAATGTTGATGTCCCATTGGATGAAGTTAACATGACAAAATTCATGTCCTCCAACCCTCGTATCTATGGTAAACAGCTTGCTCTCCCTAAGGACTATAACAGATGGCTGGAGGTAAGCTCCAAATTCACCACGGTTTTCAAACATTCTTAATGTTTTGGACCTCTTATAATTAATACTTCGTCGAAGATTCTTTGATCGCTATTAAAGGTGTACCAATCTACGTGGGCGGATCTAATAAAATGCAAGCTTAAGGCTATACGTCTTGTGTTTTATAGATTGGACTTGGATATTGGATAACCAACAGATATACAGGCAGGCTACACGAAGACTATTTTCTGTATAATCATCTTATTGGAGAGGAATATGTCGCGGGAGAAACAACTATAGCACAGAACACTCATTTAGGTATATAGAATTTAGATGATTTAAGTAATTTATGTAAGAATTTCGTCACAAAACACAATTTACGGGAACTTCATCACAGAACACACATTATAAGTAAAGTTGTACACTATACCTTGTCAAAATTCTCCGCAAGTTCTTACATGTACCCATTTGTCTTTATTTGGTAAACCTGCGAGAAATATCCGCGAAATAGCTTTATATTAAATGGCATAATGGTATTGTGGAAATTTGATAAATACATGATTTTTACAAAGCTGCCCGGCATTTTGCATTTTATGTAACATTTAAAATTACTTTCCAGTAAATGTCTATTCCTGTGAAAGATTTCTTTTTTATTATTTGAATTCAGGACTATATTACGGTTCAAAGCTTAGATATTTTGGGATTCAAGTCAATTTAACAGTAAGTGTTTTCACCCTGGGCTACAGCGAGGGAGGACCACTCTATCGTGCATGGGAACAGCTAATGATCACTGAGGTAAGAGAATTATTTACTATTTACATATTTAAAAAGACATCCTTCTCTTTGCCTAATTACCGGAAGTGTTTTTGAAACAAAATATTGTAATTTTTTTTAGAAAGCAAAAATGCCACCATCTTTAAAGAATGGATTCCAGTGTACAAGAAATACGTGGCACTGGATACGTGTTCAGGAGGTAAGAAGGACCGATCGTTTTTAAGTTTTTGTGTGTGTGTGTTTTTTTTTTTTTTTTTTTTTTTTTTTTCAAGTTACGGTGCTATATTTTACAGAAAGAGTTGCACGCATTATACACTCATTCCTATAATCAATAGCGCCGTAGCATGAAGACAGTAGTCATCTTATACCTCACTGCTAATTAAATTTTAAATATCACCGCATTCCAAACTTTGCGCAAGAGTGCGTGTGTATTTGAACTTCATTGAAGTGTTGGTTTACAGATTTTTATCATTTTAAACATTAAGAGACAAAGAAAAATTTTGCAATGACAATGTCGGTTACAAGACAACTTCGCGGGATGCGTAAAATGGTTATTAATTAACATATTTCATGTAATGTAATGATAAAAGTATCACCGAGCAAATTTAACATTTTTAAATTAAAATAACTTTTTAATATTTTATACTAAATTTGGACGTTTATCTATGAAAATCTTTATCTGTTTTTACTATGTGCTAATATCGAATTAATTGTGTCTTTAACTCTTATTTATCTCATTTCCTTTGAAGCCGGATTAAGACAGTCCAATTGACACTCGGTGACTCTGTCAAAAGAATCTTCTCATTAGGTGTTAATGCCTCGGGATTTGTTAATTCTGTATCAATAACTTTATTTATACAATTACTTTATAACCTCTTTCATGTCCATTCTATTAAAGAAACACAACTGTCCATCAATCAACTCAACTAGTGTCATAAGTCAATCATTGTTTACTCTTAATCTTACAAAAAGCTATGTCCATTATTCCTTCTTCAGTTTGGAGGCCCGATGTTCTACCGGCCACATCCAACTCGGTTAAGACCTAGTTTTGACTCGTTAAACTATTGTTGAAATTCATGTTGATTGTTATTTACCATCGTGTTTAATAAATTTGGAAACCTGATTTTACCAGTTCTTGGACTGTATATTGGAAGACCATAAGGAATACGGCACCTTTCTCGTTTACATTGTATTACGGCCCCACAGCGCCGCTACTTTATTACCCGCCAACATTCCTTCTTCCCCGTTTACGCTAGAACAACGGATATAGACCGAGACTCAGTTTTATAACTTATAACCAAAATCTAACTGGTTATATAAAAGAATGTAAGAATGATAAATTTATAGTAGACAGACTTATATCAGCAAAATAATCATTAATCTAACCCTTTTGTAGGTACTGTCAGATTCAGCATATCTGGGGATAATTATTGGTTTGTCTGTGGCTCTGCCAGTTCTCATCATCACCACCATGAACTTCATCATTGGATTCCTAGCGTGGGTCGTTATTGCGCTGGTGACGGTGTGTGTCTTAGGGTCTATACCTCTGCTAGGCTGGAAATTAGGGGTATGTTTTAATTTTGTTAACATTGAGGATAGTTATGTTTTCAAGAGTCTTCTCAAAACGGTGTGGTTTTACCTCTAAATGAGAAAAAAATGTCCTAATATGGGTGTACAGCAATTAGATATATTCATCATCTAGAATAGTATCTCCTCATTTTCAAAAAATTCTTCTATTTTTAGATGCTTTTTTCAGTATGGAAAAAAATGAAGCGCTAAAAATAATTTTCTTTTAAATGGTGCCATTACTCCTGAATTATTATCATGCTTTTTTATTTAATTTTTGAAAAAGATCCATCTGTTAGGCTTCCTGATGATGTAATGATTTCATATTTTTTGGTCTAGGTCCTTGAGTCCCTTAACCTGTGTATGGTAGTAGGCTTAGCCGTGGATTATGTTGTTCATCTGGCAGAAGCTTACAACATGTCACCAAGTATCAATCGAAAGGACAAAACTCGGAACATGCTGGAAAAGATGGGACTCTCTGTCCTCTCTGGTGCCTTCACAACATTTGGGGCCTCCGTTTTTATGCTGGGTGCTCAAATTCAATTTATCTATCAATTTGGAATATTTGTCATGATAACAGTATTTACATCCTTGTTTTTCTCATTGTTTGGTTTCACTTCCTTTCTGCTGATCCTAGGACCTGAGGGAAATTCAGGTTCTATCACAGCATTGGTCAAAAAAATTTGTTGCTGCATACACAAATTTCAATCGATGCCAAAGGATGGAAAACCCTCTTCAACACCCTTTCCCTCAGATGTCAATCCCATCACAATTCCTAATGATCTCAAAGACAAAGTGCCAAAATAGTTCACCTTGAAGTTCAGCAACATTTGTAAAATAATTTTTTTGGAGGGAGGGAGGAGGATGAGACCCCTTCCTCTTCCTTATTAGCTCACCTGAGCTGAAAGCTCAAGTGAGCTTTTCTGATCACCCGTTGTCCGTCCGTCTGCCCATCCGTATGTAAACTTTTCACATTTTCAACTTCTTCTCAAGAACCACTGGGCCAATTTTAACCAAACTTGGTACAAAGTATCCTTGGGTAAAGGGGAGTGTAAATTATCAAAATAAAGGGCCATATCCCCTTACAAGGGGAGATAATCAAGAAAAGACAAAAATAGGGTGGGGTCATTAAAAAATCTTCTTCTCAAGAATCACTGGGCCAGAAAAGCTGAAACTTATGTGGAAGCATCCTGGGATAGTGTAGATTCTAAATTATTAAAATCATGACCCCCGGGGGTAGGGCGGGGCCACAATAGGGAATCCAAGTTTTACATTGAAATACATAAGAAAAATCTTTAAAAATCTTCTTCTCAAGAACCACTGGGCCAGAAAAGCTGAAACTTATATGGAAGCATCCTGGGGTAGTGTAGATTATAAATTGTTCAAATCATGACCCCCGGGGGTAGGGCGGGGCCACAGTAGGGAGTCCAAGTTTTACATAGAAATATATAGGAAAAATCTTAAAAAATCTTCTTCTCAAGAACCACTGGGCCAGAAATACTGAAACTTATATGGAAGCATCCTGGGATAGTGTAGATTCTAAATTTTTAAAATCATGACCCCCGGGGGTAGGGCGGGGCCACAATAGGGAATCCAAGTTTTACATTGAAATGCATAAGAAAAATCTTTAAAAATCTTCTTCTCAAGAACCACTGGGCCAGAAAAGCTGAAAGTTATATTGAAGCATCCTGGGGTAGTGTAGATTCTAAATTGTTTAAATCATGACCCCCAGGGGTAGGGCGGGGCGACAATAGGGAATCCAAGTTTTACATTGAAATATATAGGAAAAATCTTTAAAAATCTTCTTCTCAAGAACCACTGGGCCAGAAATACTGAAACTTATATGGAAGCATCCTGGGGGTAGAGTAGATTCTAAATTGTTCAAATCTTGACCCCCAGGGGTAGGGCGGGGCCACAATAGGGAATCCAAGTTTTACATTGAAATATATAAGAAAAATCTTTAAAAATCTTCTTTTCAAGAACCACTGGACCAATAAAGCTGAGACATATTTGGAAGCATTCTGAGGTAGTGTAGATTCTAAATTGTTAAAATCATGACCCCCAGGGGTAGGGCGGGGCCACAATAGGTATATTAAAAGGGGGGAAATCTGATAAAGAACAGCATGACCAAAGTTACTCAGGTGAGCAATGTGGCCCATGGGCCTCTTGTTTTTATATTTTCTGTTGATCTTGAAGATGTATTTTTGTTGTTATTTTTTTACTTGATTTTTTTTTTTTTTAGTTTTTATGTATTCATCCTTTTTTACAATTTGCTGTTGGTATGAAAAAGAAATCTTGCTCAACATCATGTCCATTTGTCTTTCAAACTACCAGGTAATAAATCCTAATAATATACGACTCTTTGGAATTCTTTTAATGTAAACTTTCTATACTGGGTAAAAATATGGTGATCTTGCACACAGCTTGATGCAATGTGCACATGTATGCACTTGGCATTCTTGCTATTCTCAAGTCCTAGGGAATATTTGGTTAACTACATGTGCATGCATTTCAAGAATATGCTTCCACAACCTTTCCAAAGTACTGTAAGATATACTTCCTTGTTACTGAAGAAAAAAACCAAAACACACAAAAAATAGCTTTTATTGACATCTCATACAGAAAGCAGGAAACTGTCCATCAATTATTTTATATTTTGGAGAAGAAAAGAAAAACGAATACGAAAATAATACATCAGATCTGATTTAGTAAATCTAGTTTTGATTCTAATCACATTTTCCAAAAAACTTAAAATTTATATCTTAAATAAACTGTAAAAATATGAGAAAAAAATTATATTATTCTCTTCATAATTTAAGATTTTGATATTTTGAATTAAAGAATTGATTTGGCATATGAAATTCTTAATATTCAAAATAACAAAAGAAAAAAAGAAGAAGCTATTTTTGTGACACTTTTCCATCATATTTTCTGAAAGCATTAAAAATTCTTGAATTCTGAAATTAAAAGGAAACCTCCCACATATAATCCATTTCATTTCGCTTCTGAACAAATTAAAAAAAAAAATGTTTGATTAAATGTGAACATCAATTTAAAATTTCTCAAGTCAGAAATGTTCAAATGTGAAAATTTTAATTGAAAGAAAAATAAAGAGCTTCAAATTAAGAAATCCAACACAAACATGATTGACATAAACAATGAAAGCTTGTAGAGAAGCACACATACATGATAGTAGCAACAATATGGCTAGCAGTTCAACATCTACTCAACCTAATTTGTGACAAAACTACAAATATATTTGATTATCGAATGCCATGTTCTGGTAAACATTAGCTGATCAAAAAAAGAGAATGAGTTGTCATGAGAATTTGAAAACTCCGAGACTATATTATTGGCAAGTTTGAGAAAAACTTTCTGTAACTCATCACAAGGACGAGTATATGACCATACGACTGGGTAAAGCAACAAATTTAACAGGTTTGACTTTATGATTCCTTCTGTGTTCTTCTTATTTTTTTTTGTTGAAACTTTAGGTTGAATAGAAGAAGCATTGCACAACCATACAATTATAATATAATCCTATTATTTACAAAATGCAATTGAAACATCTCCATATGAAAAAAAATATATATGGTATTTGCACAATAGCTATGGGCAATGGAATGTCTTTTAATCACTATATTTTACTAAGTTTCTATTAGAGACAAAAGAGGAATGCTATAAAAATATCTACTCAGTAGAAATTGCTAAAATTATGAATGAACAGTTATTTCCTAAGTCAGAATAACAATGAAACTGACAAAGCATTATGGGTCATTTATATTGACCTTAAATTCTAGACTTTTCTTCCTTTTACATATATCCTTTATTTACGAAGTAAGAAATGTAGGGTCTGTTTACCTAAAACAGAATGATTGAATATCCATCATAAAGATGTTCTGACAGACAGATGGACAATTAAGGCACTTTTCTTAAACAGGGCCCCTATGAACAACACAAATTGATAATTTATCAGAGTGTGTTTTGCAATGTTCATTCATATGGAATGTCACTTTATATCATTTTCTATAATTATGATAACTATAGAGAAAATGTTTGATAAACACAACACTAACATGAATTATGCTCTTCTACCCACAGGGGCCAGTAACATACTTTGCTTGATTTTACGTCATCACTATATATACCAAAAGGAATTCCTTTCTGTATAATTATATACTGATGATGTAAAATCAAGCAAAGTATGTTACTGTCCCCTGTGCTTCTACCTTTTTCAATAGAGAGCTTGCAAAAAACATCAACAATGTTCGAACAATCAAGGACATGATTTACATATGGAATTCTAGCTGCACAGAAGCTGTATGAAAAGTTCTGATCAACAGTAGCTGTGCCACTTGCTCCATTCAGAATCCACATCAATTTGTAAAATTTTGTCAAAATTTGTCAAAATTTCATGCATGTTTAAAGATATCTTAATAACTTATATTAAACTTTCATGATTACACATACAATTATGTACAAAAGATGTTGCCCACTGACCAAAAATTTACTTTATAAAACCTTCCCCCATAAGAAAATCACAAGTAAAATAATTTGAAATCTTTCAATTTGATGTAGATTTAAAAAGACAAAATATGAAATATTTCAATGACAAACATTTTTTAAGTAATTTTAGCCTAAAAAAAACACAATAATGAAAACTTCAAATATGAAAAAAAATTATATGCATATGAACTATCAATTTAATCTCCCAAAACATTGATTAAATCTTTTTAAAAAATCAGAAAGATTTTTCTTAAATATTCTGCAATATTATATTAATTATATATCTATATTTTTGAATTTGCAATAAACAATTGAACTTTGGTATCTTGAACGTAGATACACTGAATACCAAGGATGTGTTGAAATGATTTGAATGTCCCTGCTACCACTTTTTTTTAATATGTATTTTAACCACAATATCTCAAACCTTAGGATATATCTCAAAGTTTTTTTTTTTGGTTTCTTGAGTTTGAGATAATGAGATTTGACTATTGAACTTAAATATTAAAAATGAAAATGTAAACTGTAAGCACATTTTGAAGGTGTTGATAACATACCTTATTAAAATATTTCGTAAAAAAAAATATTTTCAAATTGAGATACAAGCAAAAATTTAGAGGAAGTGCACTTTATTCAAGTACACCAAACAGACCATATTCATAGAGGTCTGGAATTATTTCATATCAACTTGTTTTATCATTCAAATTAAACAGGTATAATCGTTAATATATAAAGGGCTTATTAATCTAGTTGTAGTGCTAATTGTTTTCTTGTTTTTTTCCATTTCCTTTGTTTTTATGACTTTCTAATCTTTTCTTTGTCCTGAAAAAGAAACGGGTGTACCAAAATTTGACAGTTTTTATTGTTCGTGTCATTGGTCATTTTAAGTAATATGTGTATGTGTGTGTGTGTGTGTATAGAGAGAGAGAGGGAGAGAAAAAGACATAACCCAAATCCTCATTCATGCACACAACAATATGCCAATTGATGTACTGGGCCAAGTACAGTTGCAATTTACAGACTGTAATTTGTGATACATCAAAGAGCAATTTGTATACAAATATACTTCACAATTCAACTGTGTTGGTCCACAGACATCAATTTTGTAATGTAATTCAAGTTTTGTCTAAAATTAATTCAGCATACATCAACAAAATCACATATATAATAAATTAAAAATAATAATAATAACGTTTGTATATATATTTAAAAAAAAAAAAAAATAAAAAAAAAAAAAAACTTGGTTTAATTTACATGTTTGCACTTGCAACCTACAGGGAATCTAAAATATGTGTTTAACAAAAATAGACTTCTTGGCATTTTCCAAAAAGAAAATGTTTCCATTAAAATTAAAAAAAAAAAAAAAATGTAAAATTAGTAAATCGTGTATTTCTTTCACCTCCCATCTGGGTGATGAGTCTAATTGCACAGTGACTGTTAGTAATTTCAAAAAAGTTCACTTCAATTATATCTCAATTTTGGCAAACAATGAAACATCATATTATGCAAAACCTTTCGAAAAAAAAAATCTTCAAAAACATATAAATCAACCCCCTTTCAGAATTGAATCATGGGATTGAGAATTTCAACTGTTTTCAACACATAAATTTTTACACTAAAATAAAGCTAACTTAAAATTAAAAGCATAAAAAATGATATAATATGGCTTATCAGTTCCAAAGGAACCTTGTCAAAAATGAAGTGATTTTTATGCTAACTATATTCCTCTCTGACCCACACAACATGTCACTCCATTGACAGCTTGTTCATATATTACTTTCTAAAATATATTCATGTCCAAAGTTTGGACAATTGTCGAGTTTCATATGTTAAGCTGTGAATAGAGTAATATGTTAAATGTATTTCAACAAAATCACCAGGATTTTAAGTCATACATGTACAGAAGAACAAAAACAAGTCATTAATGTTTGGAATGGTGAAGGCACATGTCTAATGAATTTCCAGGTCCAATTTGTCAAAGAGCTGGTGAACCTCCTGAATCTCCATGTTGATCTTCATCTTCCTCATGAGCTGTTTGTGCCACATGGAACAATGGCGGCATTCTGGCATGACACTGAACAGTTCCTGGATACGCTTAATGGGGTCCACTCCTTGTGCTAAAATATGCAAACACACTTTCAATTTAGGTATCAATGGAAATACAATGTACAGTCAAACCTAATTATTTCAAACTTGATTGGGCCATTAAAAAGCTTTGAGACAGATATATCAAGGTTAAAATACATGAAGGAAAAGTGGTTAATTAGTGCTTCCTTCTCATTTCAACATATAAATGGTATTTGAGATACCAAAGTTTGAGATACTGAAGTTCAACTGTAGGCTGTGTTAAATCAGAGGTTAAATTCCGCTCTTTTCTCATCATTGAATCATAGTACAAAAAACAAGATGTCCAAGGGCTTATGCTATATTCAAAAATGGAGTAAAGGAATGGCTGACTTTCCTAACAAAAGCTGAAAATTTTTTTTTGCCTGATGGTCCAAAGAAACTTCACTGTTCACTTATGATAGATATATCACTTTAATAACTGGTTTTCCTGTGACTGAAAACTGTGTCATTTGGTGTTCCAGGGACAGTTTTCCCTATACAGTTCAATATGGTAGAGAACACTTCCCATACTTATTCATTTGTATTTATTCTATTTATTTCTATTCTTATTCATATGTATTTACTGTAGTACTGAACATTAATGCAAAAAAAGTGGATACTTTGTTGAACAATTAGAATTTACAGTACCTAATATGTTGAGAAGGACATTTATGTCATAAGCCATGGTTAGGTTCATATGCAATCGCAAAGCCTCAACAGTGTTTTTGAAACAATATACAGTAAAACTCTCTTTTAACAAAGTGCTAGCGACTAAAAATTTGATTAAAAATTATAACTAAAACTAACAAGAGGCTCATGGGCCACATCACTCACCTGAGCAATTTGGCTAGGAAAAAGCAGAAATCAGTATTGAAAAGCTTAAATATAAATGTGGTTCCCACATTTCTTCTATTGAGGCCTTGCCCTACTTCTAGGGACATGATTGGAACACATTTCAAACTACTCTATCTGAGGATGCTTCTGAATTAATGAAATTGGATTTGATGTTCTTGAGAAGAAAATTTTTATTGATATATCCCTTAAATTCTTAATTATAACTTTGATATCCCCTGCTGTGGCCCCACCCAACCCCCAGGGGTCATGATTTGAACAAACCTGAAGGATGCTTCCATAATACATGTATGACTAATCATAACTTTGCTGTTCTTGAGAAGAAGATTTTTTGAGACTTTTTCTATATAATTCCTATGTAAAACTTTGATCCCCAATTGTGGCCCATCCCTACCCCTGGGGGTCATGATTTGAACAAACCTAAATCTACAATACCTGAGGATGCTTCCATATTAATATGACATAACAAAACTCTGCTAGTCTTGAGAGGAAGAATTTTCATGATTTTTCCCTATATATTCCTTTGTAAAACTTTGATCCCCCATTGTGGCCCTACCCTACCCATGGGGGTCATGATTTGAACAAACTTGAATCTACTCTTCCATATAAATATGACTAAACATGGCTTTGGTGTTCTTGAGAAGATTTTCAAAGATTTTTCCTGTCTTCTTACAAAAAACTTTGATCCCCAATTGTGGACCCATTCTACCCCAGGGGTCATGATTTGAAAAAAAAAATTTGAATTTACTCTATGTAAAAAAGGTCTCACATAAGTTAAAACTTTTTTGGCCCAGTGGTTCTTGAGAAGAAGATTTTTAAAAGATATATTGTACCACCAAATTTTCTCTATTTCTTAATTGTCTCCCCTTGGAACAGGAAGTTCCCTTCACTTGAACAAATTTGAATTTTATTTACCCAAGGATACTCTGTGCCAAGTTTGGTTGAAATTGACCTAGTGGTTCTGGAGAAGAAGATGAAAATGTGAAAAGTTTATGACAATGACGACGATGACAGACAACGGACTTTCAATTAGAAAAGCTCACTTGAGCCTTTGGCTCAGGGGAGCGAAAAATTATAATCATAATGCGTTACATCTCTACAGTATTTCAAATGGTTTAGGAAAACAAGGAATGAAAATCACTTTGCTGTAAGCCTGAATTCTTTAGAAGTATGTTCACTATAACCATGTTGTACAGTACTACCTCCTCAAAGAGTTACTGTTTCTGTCCCTGTGGCTTATATAATTACACAGACAGTATACTTACCAAGCAACTGTGCCTGGAAAATGTGAATCATATTTTGCCTCAGTGACTCCAGAGTGGCTGGATCTCTTAAGTTTAACAAATCTAGAAAAAAAAAAATTACAACATTCTACAATGCAGCAATGGATGCATTAAAAGAATGGTAAGAATTTTAGCCTAAATGAATGTCTTGATTACATGTTCTATGTAGGAAGAAAGGACTGTAAACACTAAATGACAAATTTGCTCCAGTAATTTATCACTTTTACTCCTTTACAAAGTGGATATCCGTCATATGATACTGTTTTCATATCACAATTGTGATGTATGTGAAAGTTATGAAGTCAAATAAAGTGGATTCATATATAAAAAACAGTGTAAAACATGCGATAACTATGTGCAAAACAGTGATAAAAAGAATCTCCCATGATTTGTGCTTGGATACGATTCCAAGAGAAAACTTCCAGATATCTGAGGATTCGAGATATCAAGGGTAAAATACTTAAAGAATAAGGGGTTGGGACTTCCAAATCACTTTGACATATCTATGTTATTCGAGATATCAGTATTCAAGATACCAAAGTTCAACTGTAAATTATATTAAAGTAACTGGTGTTTAGCTTCCACAACTTAGTTGCAGAACTCTAGCTCTCTGGGACAGAAAATTCAGCCAGACATACTAGAGTAGAGAACAGATAGAGAACTAGGAGCTAAAATATATTAAAAGAAATAAACTTAGATAATTCTACGTTAAAGAATTGGTGTACGGCATGTTCCTTAGATAATAGTGGGTTTTGTATGTTGGGGGTGCCACATTCCTTATATCTTAAACCTACACAAAAACTTTTATAAAAACACTTAAAGGAAAGTAAATTATTTTTCTTACATAAAACTTTATCTAAAAGCTGTTGAGTTACCTGTGCTCAAGAACAAGATAATGGAGAGAAATGTTTCTTCCATCAGAGTCATGTTCAGTTGGCTTAGCTGTTCTCCGCACTGGAGCAGACGCAGCTTGAAGAAGTACATCGGGTTGTTTGGAGAGAGCGTCCAGTTCCAGAAATATTTGAATCTTTTGGACTCTTTATCATAATAATTGTTGGCAGCCACAATGAGGCCAATATGGAAGCAGTTCAACATACAGAGCTCAGCAGCATCCTCAGTATTGATGTTCTCAAATCCTACACAAAAAAAAAATGACACCATCTTAACTCAGCTTCCACATGCATTTTAAATACTTGTTTACGCATGTGAGTTAAGGTTAGGTATAGGCGTTTCTATGCAAATGAGGTAATAAAATGCATAAAAGGTATATTTTTTACTCAGAGAAAGTTTTGATTTATTTTCTTATACATACTTAGTACCCATGAGATATTATAACCATGTACACATTATGACATCATATTATGATGTCATTGTTCTTATCTACTGGAGGGAATAAAACACATCAACAAAACAGTTTCGGCGCAAGGGATTATCCTATTTAATTTTACATAAAAATTGTTCATGTATAATGCTAAGGAGAATATTCTATAGATTAATAAAACTGCTGGACAAATCTTAGTCATTTTCTCATTTGATCAGAATTTTAGGAAACTTATACCAAACTGTACATTTTTACCTTGTTTCAACTTAAATCTTTACAAAAAGTAATTAAACAACTGAGCTGTTGATATATGTGCATCAATACCATCAATTCTTGAAATATTTTACTTCTAAATATACCTTGGTTCAGTCACATAAAATAGAGCATGCCCTTGTGCCGAAGTTTTTTTGTTGATGCCCATTGTAATCTTGTGTAGTAAAGAACAATGACATCATAATATGATGTCATAATGAGTACTGGCTATATCATGTTGTGGGTACCAAGTAAGTATTAGACATTAAGTTTAAACTTACTCTATATAATAGGTATAGTCCTTAGGCACATTAAATTAGTGTATTTGCATAGAAATGCCTATACCTAGCCTTAACTCACTTGTGTAATTAACAGAACTCAACACTGCATCAAATTAAAGAGTTCTCAGAGAAAAATACAAGAGGCCATTATTTGTATACCTGGAACAGTTCTAATGAAGTTCATGAAGGAGACGATATTTCTGATCACTCTTCTCTGCACATGATTCCAGTGACTTTCTTCTTTTCCAAAAGCAGGCCACTGACTCTGAAATTAATATCAGGTATATTACTTTCCATTAAATTGATCATTGACTCGTAAAAAACTTTCCAGTCACACTGGAATTGTTTATAATTCTTACCTTCAGTATGTCATCATATGAATGCTTTTTGCTTTCATCACAGGAAGCCACAAATTTGGAGTACCCTGCCACAATGTGGTTGGTAAAGGCTATCATGTCTTCTGATGGTGGACCTTGAGCTGACAGTCTTAGTGGCTCGTTCCAATATGCTTGAGATTTCATCATGCTGTAGTTCTCACACTGAAAGTCTTTCTCATTTTCAGCATAAAACCCATTATTTGCCATGCTTCCATAGTGTAGCCCCATAGGACTGCAGGCTTTACGCTTCTGGCCACAGCTGTTTGTGTAAAAGGCTTCGTTTGAGTCATCACTGTTGTCATGGTAACTGTGAGGAGAGGATTCTGGGCTTGAGCAATACTCAGGTCCAGTTCCTCTGTAGTTCTGCAATGTCTTCAAAATGAGATGTCTATCGAAATCAGTTCTAGAAAAAAACCCACTAGCAGATTCTTCTGGGTAGTTCTGTACATTATCATCACAATTCATAAACATTTGATTGATTTTCATCTGAGCTTTCATGTCAGCATAGGGAAGTTCTTTGCTGTGGTTATCTCCCATCATGCCTCCTGCTGGAGGCCCCTGAGCATATGTGTTTTGGGGGTAGGGCATCATAGGGCTGAACCTATTGTTGGACGGAGAAGAGGGATAGCCAGGACTGGCCACCGGGGGTGAGTTAGCATGGTAGTGGTTGGCTTCGGATGGAGAGTTCTGGTATTGGCATGGAGAGTATGGAGATGATTGCTGTTGATACTGAGGAGAGGGAGGCATGCAAGGAGGGGAGTGGGGTCCATAGGAGTGTTCAGGGGATGTCTGGCCACTGTAGTGGTGTGGGGATCCATTCCCATACTGATAGGTTGGACTTGGATAGCTGACAGTGTTAGAACAGCTGGAATGGGCTGGTGAAGTATCCACATTCAACTGACCATACCCATCATTCTGAAGCATTTGGTTGTTAAAATCATTTATCTGTTGTTTAAACTGCTTTGGTGAAGGGATGGGAAAGTTGGGCACAGAAGACTGGGTATTCATCATGCACGCCTGATGTTGCATCCCACTCTCTGAAGAGAAATTCTGATTGGGCACTTGTTCTGGAATGCCCTGCATGCAACTTTTCTTTGGCCCCATTGGATTCTGCTCTTGAGAGAGGTATGCCAAAATATCATCCATGTCATCCTCTTCATATACTACATTATTGCTTTGAATAGCAGAATTTTGGACAGGCATGGTGTTGCTAACAGACATGGCAGCGGTCTGGGAAGTTGTTACACTGGATACCATTTGCTGTTGAGCAACAGAGTGGGCAATTTCCTGATGCCAGTTAATGTTGGGGGTCCTCTGATTCTGAGACCAGTGCATGTCATGTTGAGCTGAAGTTGACCAGCTCTCTGTGTAAGGGATGGAGAATGACTGAGCTGGGCTGCTGTATGTTGCCTTTGGCAAGTTTACCTCTGCAGTGGAGTTGTTAAGAGATGTAGCGGATAGGTTTGTAAGGTCACAGTTGGAAGGTTCAGCCTTGACCTTGGAGAGATCGAACATGTTGTCGTTGACCTGGTGTCTGGAGGGAGAGGATCCTGGTGAGAAGTTGAGGGTGGGGGATGGAATAGGGGAAATGGAGGGAGATTCTGTAGCATCTGCAACATTTGCAGAATTGTTAGTTTCTGTGGTTTCTGCTTTCTTGGGACGACCCATCTTTATAGCTAAAATAAAACGAACAGAAGTACTTAATGAATTAAAACATAAACTTTAAAAACAGTTTATAAAAATGAGATCAAACTTTCATTATGCACATAAATTCTGGTTCAGGCAAATCAATACAATATCTTATAAACTATTGCCCTGTTCACACAGAGAGTTTAATTTGAATTAAATGTAAGTAACTTCATCCGCGTTCACACTGAGAATTTAATGCGAATTAGTTTAATTCAAATTAGTTCACTGTGCATTAAATTACTTTGCATTAGCTCTGTGTGAACGCTAAGCGAAGCTAATTCGAATTAAATTTCGACGCATGCGTAAGGGCAGAATTAAGTCACAGGCCACATGTCGAAGGTCAAATATAGGTACTTGTGCTATTTTTGCGTGGAAAACAAAGGAAAATTATGTTAATCACTAAAATGTGTACAGACACTATGACATTATATGTCAAATGTATATCAACTCTGCACAACATGACGTGATTTGAAAATGACGTCATAATAGCCTCACCGTAGGCCTTGTAGAAATAAAATTACACTTCGCATAAATTAACTTCGCATTAGTTGTCATGTGAATGCAATTTAATTCGCATTAGTTTAATCCGCATCATTTTACTTCACATTAATTTACTGCGAATTAAACTCTCCGTGTGAACAGGGCATATGTCAAAGCATCAAAATGGTTTGATCTTAACTCTAAAATCAATAAAGTCACGTACATGGAATCTTACACTGGATTACTTTTTTAAAAGAGATACACTGAAATGAATCTGGAAAAACAAAAGTCTACTGCCCTACCTTCTCTGGACATGCCAACACTGATGCATTTTTGGTAACGGCAGTATCGGCAATTGTTGCGATTTCGTGGGTTGATTGTACATTTCTTCTCACTTTTGCACAGGTAACTTTGGTTTTCCACTAACCCACGGCGAAAAAATTTCTGCAAATTTATCAATAGAATTGATTTTGAAAATGAACCCTTAATACTGTAATACACAATGTTGTAAAAACAATGATTAATTCTGAAACATATTTACCACTTTTAGGTAAAATTTTATAATGAATACATTCTACTAAATTTAAAAATGTCAACTTATTTCTTCAAAATTATAGAAATGCTTACCATCAAAAAATAAAAATTTGTAGCAATTAATTTACCGTATATACTCGCCTATAAGTCGGTTTTTTGGGAGTTAAACTTTGATCCAAAACTCTTTATCCGAATTATATACGAGTTACAAGAAGACTGATATTTTAGTGGGTCAATCCCTCTAATTTAAGCTTAAAAATACAACCGACTTATAGGCGGACCGACTTATAGGCGAGTATATATGGTAGTACAATTGCAGCAGCAGATGATCATTAAACTGAAACTGTTTTTTAGGCTTTTATGAAAATTTCACTTTGATTAGAATATTTGTTACATGAATACAGTCAAAATGATCTGGGTAGTTTTCTTAAGGGGTGAGATAAAAGGTTCAATGGCTGATGAAAATCTAAATACAAAAATTTAGAGGGAGGCAGTAAAAAAAAAAAAAAAAAAAAAACACCTAAGTTTCTGTTGTCAGACATTGAAATTAAACAGAAACTGCATACTGTACATGGGACTTCATGCAATTCATATTTGAAATGCTTCTTCTTCTTATGCTTTCAAAGTAATAGATTACTAGTACAGCTTCATTATTGCATTTTGATCAACATTCATTTCATTTTGATTAAAGGGGGGAGGGGGGTCTTGATAAAAACTATAGTCTGTATGTGAATTTAATTTTTTTGGCAGACACTGAACTTTTGATCTTACCCCTTACTATACAAGCAAACTCCAGTGGGTATTGCTTTCTTTAGAGCACTATAAGTATTAACAGGATCATTACCTTACACCCTTCACATGTATTCACTCCAAAATGAATTCCATTGGCTATGTCCCCGCATACTTTACACAAAACTTGGCCATCTGCTGGCTGGACTGTTTCAGGTTTTTCTACAAATATAGAAGTTTTATTTCCACTGTCTGACATCAAAATTCAATCACCAACTTCTACCATTGTATACAATGTATTACTAGACAACAATATCGAATCTTATAGTCTCCTTTGAGGATAAAGACTAACTTCAAGATTAAAACACAATTTAACACAAAGGGTGAGGTTTTTAGTTTCCAAACAAAATTTTGTAACAGATGGATATAATCAAAACAATCAAAAAAGTTTTTTAGTTTGAACTTCTTGGCAAATGTTTACCTCTGTAGAAGGACAATTAGGTTGAAGTATTTACATGTAGTAGGAATATGTATTGTAATGCTACAGGTATAGTATTATAGTAGCACAACGTTATGATGAGCTTGGATAAAACTATTGATTCTGGAAACATCAACGTCATAATAAAATTTATATGGAAGACCCCTTATGCCTTTTTTCTCTAATTAAAAATAACTACCAAATCTGGCAATTTTCAAAAACTTGAAAATGAATCACCTTTTCTGCACATGCCCGCCATAAGACAGCGCTGGTAACGACAATATTGGCAGCGAATACGGCCTTGTTTGGCGATGTCGCAGTTGCCATTACATTGACAGGTGAAAGTGGGCTCACCATCTTTTGTGCATCTTATGTAAAAACTCTGAAAATAAAGCAGAAAAAAATTAAACAAGAGGTCTTTTGACAACGTAATGCATATGAAATAGCATATAATACAATTAATTATAATACTTTTATACATGTACTCCTTAAGTTATGCTCATGGCCATAATGTATGATTACATCTATTTTTTTTTTTTTTAAATTAAAGTTATGTCTTGTAAATCACAATATTTTCATGAGACTTTAGTGGGACAGCAACATTATATTTGTCATACTCATACATGATATCATTTAAGTCAAAGTGAATTTTTCAAATGATGAATTACTGGAGTTTTCTCATTAATACTGGCAGGAGCTTAAGTTTTGCATATAAAGTAAAACCTACAAAATTTAAGAATTTTTTTGAGGAAAAAAAATTAAGATTTCCTAATAGTATTTTAGAAACATGGCTTACAATTTTTACAAATGAGTGAAATGAATACTTTGATGACTCATGCATTGTTTTTTTTTATATGAGATGACAAAAAGCTTAACTGGCATAAGAGTAACATTTATCTTTTTTTTTAATTTCACTGCAGTCTTCAGTTGAAGAATATATGTCAAAAGACCAATTTTCACTTTACCCAGGATTCTCAATTTATAATTCTCTTAGTTCATGTTTAATATAAAGTTTACACTGACAGCAGCCATTTTGAACGGTGACAAAATAACCCCTAGATGCTATTATCAATTGTTTTCTATAAAATATGGAGGGGGTGCATTGAAACAAAGAAAAATATGAGAGATAAAAGTTACTACTTCATATGAAAAAAATATTCCAGAAAGGCAGTGAAATGAGCTCTTTGAATGTCAATTTTCTTTAAATATTCCATGTTCAAGTTTTGTGAATATTAAATTTAATGCTTTTCATTAAAAATACTGGATAAAAGATTCCTATGAAGATTTAATAATGCTAAATAATTGCATTATGTATAATAGGGAAAAAATGTAATTGGCCAGACAAGGATTCAAACCCTTAACACTGGTCAGGTGCTCTACCAACTGAGCTATCTGGCCACCATTAATTGACTACCACAATCCTCCCTCCAAAAAAATCTTCACCCCCAAAACACTAACCCAGGTTCATCTCTAGCAGGTCTTTCACCTGTCACTTCCTGGGTATAGCACAGTACGAAATGTAACAAGAAGGGAGAAAATGTGTCCTACCATGAACTAGGCCACCTTTCAAATCCTAGCCCCCTGAACTTTATAGACAGATACTTTATCAACTGAGTTATCTCGCCCGGGGCAATCAAGCCTACCTGCATCTTTAAAACTATCAACATTTTGTTACTACTTATAGAAGCAAGATTGTTCAGAATGTTAAGCCCTTTCATATCAAGAAAAATGGACTTTCTTAGCTGACCTCACAATATCAATAAATGCTGTTCAAGTTTTTTTTTTTTTTTAATTGATCCACCAGTTTTATAATGCATGTTTATATACAATGCACTAAAACCTGCCTCTTTGGGTCATACCCCCAGGACACAAATGATAAAAGCAGAGGGCGTAGCTAGAAAATTTTTCCAGACACCATTTTCCCCAGAAAATTGAACAAAATGGAAATATACTAGAAAATTTTTCAGACACCATTTTCCCAGAAATTTGAACAAAAAAGAAATGTTCTAAATTTTCTCTAAAAAACCAATCCTTATTGTGGTACTCCACCAGAGAAGAATGATTGACCTTGATCTGGGTACAGAAGTTATTCAGGATAACATTAGTAAACTTATAGATACAAATATTTTGACCTTTTATCACTTTCTTTGAATACCAATGAAAGAGGCATTTAATAGGTTCTCTGAACCACAGTGCAATGAGCTAAAAACAGCTACTTCTTGTTTGGTTATTTTATCCATTTAAATTACCTGCTCTTTAATGAGAACAGTTAGGGATTTTAAAAAAAGTTTGAAGGATAAATACTAGTACATGTATGTCTTTTTAAAGCCAAAGAAATCGGTCAAATTTAAATGAAGAAATATAAGCATGTGAAGACATGTAGGCTACTTGTTTATCTGACAGCTATGGAGAATTTCTGTGTTGATGTGAATTTTTTTGTTCCGTTCTTTGAATATTGATGTTTGCAGACTCACTGATGCATGGCATTAGAATCTATAGTTACCACACTCCTAATGTGTGCAAGCCAACAAAGTAATTGTCATAATGGCTATATAATCAGTGAATACTGCAGCTTCAAATGGAAACCCTCATAATGCAAAAAACAACATTTATCGATTTTTTCAAAGCAAAAGCTACTTTTTTTCAGCGTTGTTAATTGTTGGAATAGTTAAAGACAAACATTTGCATTGGTACTGAGAAGTCAGGAACAGTGCAGCTAGTGTACCTGTAATTCAACTCGATGTTAAATTACGAAATCCTCAAAAGAGCTAGAATTTTAAATATTCCCTATTTAATCTAATAATTGCAATCTAAAAGAAATAAGTCTCCATCTAAACCCTTTAAGTAACTGTTGTCATAAGACAAGAGTCAACTACCAGGAAAAGCTCATCTTTCAGCAAGGAAAGTTCAAGATTTATCACGTAAAGACATCAAAACCGAATTCAATTTAAAAGTCTTGAATTATTTCTGAATGTCTGCTATCTTCTTGATCCTTGATTAAGTGAGCTAGATAGGAAGGTGTGCCAGTTAAAAAAAATGAATTAAAGTTTTCACTTAAAAAAACATGAAAGTTCTAAAAAAAAAATTTTAATTTAATGTTGAAACTGTACTGGTATAAACTTTATGGTAACTTAAGGTCAAGCTCCTCTGAAGGGGTACGGAATCTAGTACAAAAGTTAATCAAAAGTTCAAAGGCTTTATGAGGAGATCTTTTAAGCAAAATTTTAATTAAGCTAACATGCTCTCAATACAAGTAGCTAAACTACCTCCTTAGATAATTTTCTAAGATACAAATTGAATAAATTTTTATGAATATATTGTTTTGTTATTGCATGAATGCATCAGATTATAATCAATATATTATAGGGATGGCAATCAAATACAGAATTGCTAATCGGTTTACCGAAAGACGTTCCAACCGATTAATGGTTAATCGTATCAAAATACACATTTTCTTAGTTTTTTAATTCCCCGGTAGCTCTAGGAAAAAAAAAAACAAAAAAAAAATAAATATATATAATTTTCATATAAACATAAGAAGACTAAAAAAAGATTTTAGAAGTTAGAAACATTCTTTTTACTTTGATGAGGAAACTACAGTTGACAAGAAAAAATTAAGAAGACCCATGAAACATGCCTGAGAAACAGATATCACACAAATTCCTTCTGCATCGTACATCGTTACCATGTTTAAACTGTAATTAACACTTCACAAACTGACCAAATCTCCCCCCCCCCCCCCCAATCTCGATCCAAAGAGCTATCGTTACCACCAAATCAGCTTAAATAGATACCAAATCAAAAAACACTAAATTATCAACGTTTATACAAAAATTTCTTTTCTAAAGATAAATTTAAAGAAAATTGCGTACAAATTTACAAATATTTTAATTTTTCCAACTAACCAATAACAGATTTTCTGACTGATTACCATCGTTTCGACAGAGTATTCAGTTAACCAGTTACAAATTCCCATCCTTAATATACAATCATTCTTTTTCAATAGTATTAGCAGTAAAACAATTTTACATTGTATACTAGCTGGTACCTCATAATATTATCTTATTTTCTTTAGCATAAAAAAAGTTATTCTATATTCTTACTTTAACTTTTCATCAATTGCTATTCATAAACCTAACAAGGAACTAACGTTTTAGTGGCAAATTATTTTCCATGCTTGCTTCGTTTAGTTTGAAGTTTTTTTTTTTAAAAAGGAAGTCTTATTTACCTCCTAAATTGGAGAGTCTCATTGTATTGCGGTATTGGAATACATGAAAGCTTGTACTATATGTAAATCACCATATTTTTGTGACACCTTATTTTCACAAGATGGTAATACACGAATTGCATTTATAACCGAGACAAAATTTTCATGAATTCGTGTTATTGTTCTACATATTGTGATTAAAACAATTATACGTGAGAATGAAATTTTCGCAGCAGACTTCCTAGAATAATTAAGCAAAAATAAAGTTCTTATGATTTAAAAGTGATTAACAGTATACACTGCCTTAAACAATAAGCGCAGCAAATACTAGCTTGCATTACTATAAGTGAAAAAACTGGTATACAGTTGAACTTTGATATCTTGATCAAACACCGATATCTAGAATACCAGGGATAAGTGAGTTTGCAGTCCCAACTATTTTTTCTTTATGCTTTTTACCCTCAATATCTTGAATCCTTGGATATCTTGAAGTTTAATCTTAGTCCAGTTAAGGTAATGAGATAACGAGGTTTGACTGTTACATATTTTAATTCATTTTGGGCACCTATCTAGTGCAGGGATTCCAGGTTCGAACCTTGGTCCAGCCATACATTTTCTTCCTTCCTGTTCCAACGATTTAACCCATTTACTATAAAATATTAAATTAAATATTTATCACCTAAAACTTATTCATGATAATCATATTTTTGGAAGAAATTTTTCTTAAATTATATCACTGCATGAGCTGAGCTCTTGTGATCTCCCTAAAAAGGTACATCCATCACATCTGAATTTCGTCTTTTCAGACAAATTTTCACGCCAAGTTGCAGTTAAATAATTAATTGTCATAAATGTCATTGCAAGAATACAGCTGCACCATTCAAAGAGAACATTTTGACATATTTTAAAGGTCAGTGTGATTAATGACTGGAAAATAGCCAAGCACCCCTGCCTGGAATTATTTATGGATTTGATAATCTTGCATGAAAAAAATATTGAAGAAAAAACCCAACAAGCCATGAAGAAAAAGCTCATAAAATTCTATCTATCTTTCAAAAGAAATGAATATGAAGTAAAATAGTTTCTTAAAATAAATTACGCTGATCGAATATTTAAGAGCTGATGACCTCAAGTTCATTGCAATAAAAAATAGGAAATGAGTGATTTTTGTTGTTGAATAACAGGGTAATATTGACACAGAAAAAGGACATTTTTCCATTGCCTGGGTGTTGAAAATATACAAACACACAAAAATGAAATATGCTGTAAGACTGATCCCCGATTAAATATCGCAAGAGTAAAATCAACATCTGATTAAAAAATCCTGCTAAAACACATAGAAACAGAGAAATCTGTTTAGTCAAGAACACATGTGACACAATGTCTTGTAGAATACAGACTGTATTATAGATACATTACCTTGCAAGGTAGACAGACAAGAGCTCCGAAGTAGTAGCCACTAGCCCGCTCCCCGCACACCACGCAGATTTTGAAATCCTTGTCATCCTCAGGGGTACAGTCGTCTGGTCTCTCTAATTTAATATCAGTGGGAAAAGCCACATCGTCATCTAATCTAGAGGGCAGACCATAAGGACCTGTAGAAAATACAAGAGGCCCTTAGAACGTGGTGCACATTTTTTACACTTTCATAAATATGTACAATGTCATGAAAGTTTATTAGTGACCATAAAACAATGATTTTTGTTCACTTAGTAATTAGAGCTGAAGAGCAAAATGCCTAAAATGTACACAAAAAATGATGGACTACATAAAAATCTGTTCTAAACTTGTCAGTTTGCAATCTCTGTTGCTTACACTTTTATAAAAGACTGTTCTCTGAATCAACTGTAACTACATGCACCTCACACATTGGATACATATCTAATGAAAAGTCTGTGAAAGTCTTATAAAAGAAAAGAATGCACATAATTTACTGTAAACCAACTTTTATTCGCATGCGAAAAATATTCGCAAGTTTCGCGACCTACTTTAACTCATAAATATTAATAGCCGCGAACATTTTATTTTGCTTTGTATTTGCAGAGAATGTTTCCTCAGTCACAAAACTTAATCGCCACGAATTGATTTCAAACTGACGAATTGTGAAATAAAAGATGACGCGAAAAATAGTTGGTTTACGGTATTATTTAAATATCCTTTCAATATCAGTCTTGGTAGCCTAGTGTAGAAAGTACCTGACTTACATCATGCGAGGGTACCAGGTTTGATACCTAGAAATGCCACACTTTTTTCCTCTTAAAATATAACTTAATAACATTTTCTAAGTCATGCACCAAGAGGAATGGGAGGGAGATCTTGTACATAAAATAAAAACTTGAATTCTCAAAGTGATTTGAAACTTTTCATTCCCGAAAAATAATGGTGCACTCAAACAAAAGAATGATGTCACAAGTCGATTTTAAGAGGCTGCATGCACATGCAATTTCTTTGCTTTCAGATGTGATAAAACTGAGCATTGCTGCACAATCGATAAGGGCTGATTACAATAAAACCAAATCCAAATTGAACAAATGCAAGGCAAGACTGCAGATTTGATTTCTTGGATGAGAATCATTTTGGTATCTTTAATTTGAAAAAAAAAATGTTTTCACTCAAAATCGAAGTGAAACCTCCTTTTTGATTTTTTTCCCCCTCCATTTTATACAATCAAATTCTGTACTTTGAACACGAAGGTAAAACAATTTTGATCTCATATTAAATGGTATGTTTATATTGGTAATTGCCATCTTAGAATAATACTCAATTCATAATTTATTAATATATGAGTCATTCCAAAAATATACAATGTATAGAGACGTTTGTCATAACTCTTTTATTAAGGTATATCATAACCAAATTGGTAGACATATTTTAACAATAAATTCAAATTTAGTGTTATTTTTATTATTTCAGATGCCAAATTGTTTTGTATTGACAGGCGCAGATCATCAGATCAAACTCCACGCTTCGCATCTCGTTTGATCCAATGATCCGCACCTGTCAACTTGACGTGATCCAGCTCTTCGCATCGTTACTGTTATAATAATGTATGTATTGCACTCAGGAAAACTCTAAAACAAACAACAGTATGAGTAAGCCGTGCATTTGTGTATAAATGGCAAAGACAGTTTCTTAGTGGTAAAGACTTTGAATCTGGTGATGGGCAGCCTGAGAGGAAATAGATTATGGGTATAAATCTTATCAAAAGTTAGTTACATCAAGGAAAGTGATGGCACAGTGAAAATACTGACAAACTAACTTATGCTATTTGAACATTTGTTAGCAAACTAAGTGTCAAATGTTACAGAGATGTTTTTAATGAGCGGGTAAGGCGCTATAGACTGGATGAGAAACGTAGATGGAAAGTATTTTGGAAAAATTTTCATGACATTTTTTGACATTAAAATGTTGTTAAGAGTGCTCCATGGTGATAAAGAAATGTTCATTTTAAATTGAGTAACTTGAGTTCCATTTATTCAAATGGAATGAAACTTCACACATCAACAAAATAAAATTAAATAACAAAATTATGAAAATAATTATGTAGATCTTAAATTTTGTGAAAAGAATATGGTGAAGAGTCGCATCGTCTAGGTATTTTTTTGAATGACCCTCATACAATATTTTTATTCTTTTCTGGTGAGAAAAAAACCTCTAATACATTGTATATATATATATATATGCATCTACAATGATCTTTTCTGTCCACATATTCATCTTTAACTATAAAATGTTCCAAATTAGAGCATTATGTTTGGAACTGCAAATCATTAAAAAATTGCCATAGTTTAATTGAACTCCATGAATTTCTCATGTCATAGTTAAATGACGTTTAATAATTTTGGTCCTCTATTATAGAGGTCCCCTGGCACGTGACATCATGTACACAAAAATATAATCAGCTTTAAAATTTAAAAATTTGACACTTCCACACTCATTGTATACATTTGTGTAATTTTGATCGACTTAAAAAAAAAACAACTAGTGAGGCAGACAAACTCATTACTGCATTTAGTCCTTTTAAATAAAAATTTTTTTTTTCTCTAATTCGCTTGTTTGTAAGCGACATTGTATACTCCTACAACTTACTTATTATGTATTTACTTGAAGGTGTGTAAAATTTCCTCTGACTCACTATTTATTATTCGTTTGTGTCATTTTTTTTTATCCGCGGCATATTTCAAGGCTGTGGTCTAGCTGCCTCACTTTATTTTTTTGTCAATAGTTTAATTCATATTCAAGATAAATATTATTATCATGTATTTTTTTCTGCTATTCTAATTTTATTTCATTGAGCAGTAGGACTTATGATATACATACATTGTGAACAGATTTTGAACTCAGACTGGAATTTCCAGCAGACTATTGAAATGTAAGCGTTAGTTTTCATGATAAGAATCTGGCTATCCTGCCTCAAAATAGAAACTTCCAATGACAACATACAAGGAATATTGTATGGGGTCGTTCCTCTGTTAGACACACAAATTAAAAACCCCCAGTCTCAACATGAATACAAACCCTGAGCATTACACCCTTAACATGATATTCTATACCAAACTTCAATTTACTTTGACCCTGCCATTTAATCAAATACGGAAAATCCTATCACCAAAGCATTAATCAATAAAATTCATGAAACTATTGATACTTTATCTAGCAGTTGTATGAGAGAGTTTTACACTCGCTGTTCCACCATATTGATTCATATCTTATCTATTGCTAATAAATTTAATTATTTTAATGGTTACCTGTGAAATTTTTTTTTCTAGTTTTGAAACCTGAAGAAACTTGCCATTGAAATAATCTATAACCTGAAGTTCTTTCCATTTCCCATTCCCCATCAATCTCTACATATTCATACACATAAGGCATAATTTAAAATATATAGCACATCAAAAATTTATGAAGAATTTCACTTTCCCACCTTTGCTTTATTTGTGCTTTCCTCTAGCTTAATTTATCTATGAGAAATGTTTTATTTTTCAAATTTTCTGTATAACAGGAAAGGGGAAAATTTATGGCTGGCCCAGGAATTGAACCATTGACCCCTGCATCAATAGTCCAACCACTGAGCTACCCAGGCCAATATCCACAGTCCATAGAGCCAAATCACCACATTCCTCCCTCCTTAAATCACACATTCAATGATCTTTAGTGCCTTGCAAAACTTTCACCTGCGAGTCAATGGTACCAAATGTAACCAGAAAGAAATTTTTTGGGGGCTGGCCTAGGAATCGAACCCGTGAGCCATTCATTACTAGTCAGGTGGTCTAACCACTGAGCTATCTAAACCACTAACCATCTGCAATCTCTACATTTTGAAGTTGTAGTCTGAAAATGAATTTACTGCTTTAGTCCATGTGACTTTTAACCAAATAACCACGGTTCAATTTAAGGCCACATACCTTATCATCTGGATATTAACAATTTCTTCTCAAGTACATGTATATATTAATGCTTTATAGCACCAAATATATTATGAACAAGTGATCAAGAAGTTCTTTAAGAGTTTATCTGTATTCCAAACGATATGATGTGAACCCAAAGCATTGATGTTTTCTGCATTTATTATCATATTTTATGAATAAGGACAGAATCTAATTATTCAATTTAAACACATAGTGGACAAGAGCCTCTAGAGTTAAATAACTTTCCACAACTTCAGAAACCTATCATAAAACCTATATATATTTTAAAAATAACATGGTTGAAATATTTTAAAGAGTGTTTTTAAGTTTTTTTCTTCTATTGATGATAGAGAGACTTTGGATTTATATATATTTATAAATAAATTTTCTTCAACTGTTTAAAGAAATTAAATCTCAACATTTCATTGGCAATTACATTGACCAGTGATCAAAAAAACCTTCAGCTCAAGGAAGACAATGTTATCAAGGTCTGATGAGGGATTTAGGGAGAGGGCTACAATAGACTGAACCTGCTGCCCGATCCCATTCACTTATGTGAATTTTTTTTGTTTAAATTAAGGTCTGATGAAATGTTCCTCATCCCTAAGAATTTGTGACTGAAGTATTCCTAATTCAACAAGAATTTCTCACAAACAATTAGGGGTACATTACCAGACATTTCTGAAAGATTCCAGAAAATAGTACTTCCTAAAATATAGGCAGATTAGAAATCACTTGGATGGCTGAAATCACAATTTCTCATGTTTATTCTTTGGTCACCATGACCAAAAAAGATGTGAAAGTAACATGTCATCAGACCTTACATTATTTCATTCCACTGAGAAGTTTCTGAATTTATTTTTAGCATTTGATTGCTGATTGACCTTGACCTTTCACAGATGTCCTTGAGAGAATCAGTTTTATTAAAATTAGATCTTCCATCCACTCCCCATTTTTTTTTATACGTCGCAACATATAAAAAAAACCAGGGAGGGGATAGAAGATCTAATTTTAATTAGATTGTGAGAGAATATGATGAGATACATTTGAGGTCTTGGAAAACAATGTTTTGAGATATATACGCATTGTATTACAAACGTGTTTGCACCAGGGTTTGGAAAGTCATGACCAACATATTTTATTGAGATGTTCTGTTGTGTAATATTGTGCTCTATTTGGCACTTCCATTGAGTAGGCGGGTAGACCACAACTAATGAACCTGTAGCTATTTACGGCCCAAATGGCAGGAAATATATGCTTTGATGTCAGATCAATATAAAGAAAATTACGACTGTTTCAGATCTGTTCAACTTAAAATTAAAGTAATCTGCGTATCAATGTTGAACTTCTACTAAAACTTGCAATTACGTAAAACTTTTAAAGATACATAATTTTAAATAAAAAATTGATCAAAACTGAATGCTTACGTTGAATTTAGACACTGTAAAATTTATTAATCACAGGATGTTGATTATTGTTTTTACACTTAAAACACTGAAAAATTACTGTAGCTAGATCCCGAAATTTTTGAGACACCTTTTTTTTTTGCAAAATAGTTAATTGGTATTAAGCAAGAAAAATTTTATCATTAATTTTGGTTTTTATTACATATATTCATAAATGAGAATGAAATTTTCCAGAGCTGATAGTCTCCTGACTAATAACGCAAATATTAAGTTAATTCTCACAAATAAAAAGTGATTTACGTTATGTAGATGAAGTCTTTGACAACAGTGTAGCTCATTATACTGACCTACATTAGATATACTGTGAGAAATAAACCGATGCTTGGGTTAAAATATTTTAATGAAACTTAAAATTACATTTTATTTAAGAACTTCGTTATATTGTTATACAGTTAAACTTTGTTATTTTGAACTTCGATATCTTGAATACCATGGATATGCCAAAGTGAGTTTATATAAAGTCCCAATCACATTCTCTTTATGTATATTTTAACCTTGATATCTGCATGGAATCATCAGATATCTCACATTTTTTTTCTTGGTCCCATTGGGTTCGAGATATAGAGGTTTTGACTGTACATATAGTAGAATTATCAATAAAATGACACATAAAAACATTTTTCTTTTTCACTAGCAAATCTTAATAACTTATCACATATGTAGCTCACAAAAATAATTTACAGATCCACTGATTATTGTGATCTTTTATATTACAGTCAAACCTCAGTAGCTCAAACTTAATGGGACTGAGAAAAAGCTTCAAGATATCAAAGGATTTGAGATAGTGAGGGTAAAATACTTGAGGAATAAATGGTTGGGCCTTCCAAATCAATTTGACATATCCATGGTTACCGTTTTGGTGTTCAAGATACCAAAGTTAAACTGTAGTTCATTTTGAAACTACATGTCTCATATAGGTAAAAAAAATGTTTGCTACATGTACATGTAATTAATTAATTAATAAATAACATATATATTTTGTAAAGTGCATACATACTAAGTTTTTAGAACTTTTGCCCAATGCAATTTATAAAAATTCATAGACAATAAAATATAATATTCAAACTTTGAATGAAAGAATTATGAATCACGGCTTGTTTCATCAGCCACTTGCCAATATTGATTAAGGTAATTTAATACATCCATTACACAACAACACAACAATTCATAATTGTAGATCATTATTCTTTGTAATTGATCCTCATTTGATAAAGAAAGAAGTTTATATTTTGTGTGACAATTTCATTGCTATTTTATAATTATAAGCACCTATGTTACAATTTTATCAGAAATCTGAATTAATTGTGACAAAACCTAGCTCTGTTGTGTAAAAACTGTAAAGCCAGAAACTAAGGGGAAAAAACTAATACCGGTATATGAGAAATTTTATTTTTGAACACTAGGTCAATGTATTACAGAGGTCATGTTGGCACATAATGCATTCTGATAAAGTGCTTAAAATACAGTTCAACTTTCGTATCTTGAACATTGATATCTTAAATACCATGGATATATCGAAGAAATTTGGAAGCCCCAACCACTTTTTGTCTATGTATTTTACCCTCATTATCTCAAACCCATGGATATTTTGGAGTTTTTCCTCCATCCCATCAAGTTCAAGATAACAAAGTTTGACTGTAGAATAAAGATTCAATGAGAAAAAAGTTCTAGCCCAGACTATAGTGTCCCTGCCAAGAAAGCAAATAATTTGGCTTAGAAGTCAACAGTCAAATTAATATATGGATACATGTGTATGCAAAGGTTAAAAGAAAAAAAATCTATACCCAAGACAGACTTATTTGCGTAAAATACAGTATTTTGATACCAAGAGCAATGTAATTTGTGGGTCATGATGAGACCTAATTAGCAAATTGTCATAAGATGATGTACCACCATACAAAACATCAAAAACTATAAAGGTATAATGAAGTTATAAACAGGACTGCATAAAATTAAAAACAAGATTGAGAACTTAAGATTCCAGAGTACAATACGTTTTCCTAATTGTAAAAGGGTTTAGATTAAGAAACCTTCATTGTTTATCCCAATTTAGTATACATTTGTACAATTTTTTTTTTGGTGTCTTTCTGTTTTGTGTTCTTTTTTTAAATTTTTATTTTGGTTTTAATTTTTATAAAGATGGCCACTTCTTCAAGTGTGAAAGCATCGAGTATTTTTTCTTTTTAGATTTTTTTTTTTCAATATGGATGAAATCGGAATTATTTAAAAAAAAAAATGAACAAAGCTAGAAAGATAGAATGAATGAATGTTCTTGAATACTCAACATTATAAGTACTAAATAAACCTGAGCAACGAGTTCTCCTGATGATGACATAACTCAGTTGGGTTATTTAGGTACTCTTGACTGAAATATGTTTCTCCTTCATTTTGTATATAAATTTTTTTTAGAGAATCCTGCCTAATTTATCAAAAAATTATCTTTGTTGCATTTCAGTTTTATATATATTTAAAAAAATACGAAAGGAGATGTGACATTATCTAATAAAATGTCATGTGTCATTGATATTCAAAATACCGGTCTATAACATTTACATTTAGACAAAAAAGTCTAAACAGACACATAGAAAATATTCAGTAAAATATCTAATAAGAAATAGAAGTTTTTTTTGTGCTGAACAAATTCTGAAAAAAGCTTGAGTCATGTAAAAATATCTACTAGGCGAAATCAGATATCATTAAATTAATTAAAATTATATATATCTTATCTAACTTAGGTTAACACATACTGTCACAAACCAAAAATATAATGAAACAACCTTTTTCACAGTTTAGACATGTTTTTTCTAGCAATTGATTACCCTGCCCTTCCTTTTGATATTGACTGAATGGTGAATATCCAATAAACAAACACTAATCAAACAACGAAAATACCTGAGAAGTAGGAACAGGAGAAGGAACTGCGTTTCCTGGGGAAGTAGTACGGAGCGAAGTAATGAGAGTGAAGAGAGGCAAGGCCACCATGATGGTAGCCTCCTGTCCAAATAGGTTGCTGTACTAAACAGTCCATTGTCATGATTTCAGTTTTTGTCCAGCCAGCTAAAATACTTAATGTTGCATGGCCGTCGTCCCGCGTTTAACTCTTTCAACTACAACGTCAATATTAAATGGCTCTACCTGGCTACCTATACATTCTATCTACCCGAGTTCTCAGTGTGAGGGGCCCAAAGAGGGGGGAATTTTACTGATTATATTTAAATGTTTAATATTTAAAACTTGTTCAAATCTGTTGTGTTGTTAGCATAGCTTCACACCAATTACAGTTTTATTCTGAAATTCTTGATTTATTTTCTTTTCTACAACACCATAACTTATTGATGGAAAATAATTTTTTTTACCCCTTTTCAGTGTATTGTGTATAGAATGAAGTCATTACATTGGGTTTAGGTTGTAAAGGGTCACGTGATCAAAATTAAAAATGTAGATTACAGTACACAATGAAGGCATTTAGCCACCACAGTGTGTCCCCTCTAACGGCAGTGTATTGGACGAAACAATAGACTCTATGTCCTCTCCATACCCAGGCAAAAAGATCAGCTATATGATAATGATTTAGAACTGGCACCCAGTCAAGTCTTTTAAAATTCTGTCTTATATGAAGCAGAAAAAAAATCTATTATGACTGAGAACAAACACAGTGGATATTATTAGTTCTAATACGGAAATATTATGAATAGAAGGCATTGCTTTGACTATGAGCAACAGAAAAACATTTATCTTTGCGGATTAGTTGTACATCAGGATTTTAAAGCATGTCACACCCATTATAACTACATGCAGTTTCATGTTGACTTTCCAAGACTTAAATTAGAAGCAAAATTTTGTGATTAAAGGCATAAATTTAACACTCTGCATATATAACAATATATCTATAGAAATGTTGCTTTCATTCCTTCATTTAGAACATCTTCACTCTAGTTGTATAGGCCTATAATCCCAAATCCAGAAAATCATAATTTTGTAAGGAAAGTCTTTTTAATATTTCATTAAATTTATATTCAGTTAATCCCTAATAGATGAGCTAGACCTCAAACAAACTTGGAATCTTGAAAAATTTTGATTTTTTTTTTCAATCAAAACTGAAATAAAGTGAATGTTTTGATGGTTAATCATAGAAGTTATCAATGTTCTAATAGATTTAATAAGCTCTGACAAAGAAGGCATCGATATACATGTACAGCAGAACTTTGGAATCTTGAACATGGATATCTCGAATACCATGCATGGATAAGTTGAAGTGATTGGGAAGTCCTTACCATATATCTTTTAGTATTTTACCCTTGATATCTCAAACCCTTGGATATCTCAAAGTTTTTTCTCGATCCCATTGAGTTCATGAAAATGAGGTTTGACTGTACTTTGAAATACAGCATATTTATACAAAGCATCCATATATGTACTATAAAAAACTTTGTCGTACCATTTTGCAAAGAATCTGCGATAACAGGAAATAAAACAACATTTCCTATTTCTTAATATACATAACTTTGACCCTCTATTGCAACACCATTATCGCCGGAGGGTGGGTAAAAATCTGAACAAACTTAAATCTTACAAACTGATTTGATCTACACAATATGGAGATGTTTGAAAAATAACAAATGACTTAAATTGAAACCCCACTGTTCTTGAGAAAAAAATTTTAAAATCTTTTTTAAGTATGTTACTATCTAAATCTGACTCTCTATTGGTCCAGTAGTTCTTGAGAAGAATATTTTTAAATAACCCCAAACTATTTTATGTATTTCGATCTTTATCATTTCCATTAAAAAGGGCAGGGTCCTTAAACTAACCAAAAATACTTTGTGCTAATGGTTGAAATTGGCCTAGTGGTTCTGGAGAAGTTGACCATGTGAAAAATGACAAATGACAGACAGGCACCAGACACTTTTTGACCAGAAAAGTTCACTTTCAACAACCTTTGGGTCAGGCCATCCTTAAAAATTTGTTTGTTTGCCCTCTCCCGACCAACTGACTAAAAATGGCATGACTCAAAACTTTTTTAGCCTCCAGGAACATTTTTTTTTTTTTATGCATTCCAAAGGTTTCTCATCCCATTATTAACTATTTCAACTGCATATTCACAAGTGTTCTTTAGAAACAAAAAATTTTCCCCCTACCTACCTACCCAATTTTTACCCTGAGTCGGAAGAGGGCAAGCAAACATTGTTTTAAAGATGGCTTCATTGCTAAGCTAAAGATAATGTATGCTCTGAGTAACCAAGTAAACATACTAGGTCAGTTGCAACATCTATACAAGGGGCATAAGCTTACAGAATATATAAAAATAGTAGCGATACAAGTGATACAGCAGACTTTCAAAATTGGCAGTTAATGTAGTCCATCTTATTAATGATATATATACAGTTGAACTTCAGTAACTCGAACACTGATATCTCGAATACCATGGATATGTCAAAATGATCTGGAAGTCCCAACCACATATTCTTTAGGTATTTTACCCTCGATATCTCAAATTCTTAGATATCTCGAAGTTTTTTCTCTGTCCCATCGAGTTCAAGATAATGAGGTTTGACTGTATACATATATACATTAGTTCTCTGATACTGTAAACCAACTTTTATTCGCGACGACTTTATTTTGCGATTTACCATGGATAAACTAGTTTGTGGCAATTAATTTTCGCGATCAAGCCTTTTTTTGATCTGTTGTTAATAGAAAGAGAGACTTTAAGAACCGGTTCGCGGCGAGAAATATTTGCGATGACGAGGCTCTTGCGAACCTCACGAAAATTTCTTGCACGCGAATAAAAGTTGGTCTACAGTACATGTACTTCTTGTGACTAGAAAGAAATAGGCCTAAAAATGATGTCTTGAACCTTAAATTTAAAGATATACAGGTGGTCGAATCATGGACAGGTTGATACCAGTATATGTTGAACTGCTGTTAAGTCATATATAGTCTTTTTTTTCTTTGTTATTTTACTGTGTTTATACCATGCAATAAACTTTCCTCTGCAGAAAATCTGTTTTCAAAAGTTGAGTATTTCCAAGAGCCCAGGCCAATTTCTTTAAATCAAATAAACTCAGATAATTTTCAAAGTTTCATCAAAATACATTATAATTGTTTCAGTTCATAATTCTGATTTTTTTTTTCAAGTTGATGCAATTTAATTCTCTTGATTAATGATCACACACATTCTTCCATTCTGTATCATAACTGTTCACATCAAAATATGATCAAGCTATCTATAGAATATCAAAAGAATTTAAATCCTGGTCCTTCTGATAACTGGCACCTGCTGTATTTAAGGCATCATACTTGTGCCAAATACTGTCTTTGTCCGCTGTCATAAACCTCTGAGAATTCTGATATACATTCACTTAACATGTGCCACTACAATCATGTGCAAAAGAAGTACTGTAATAGGAGTTTTAGTAACTGGGATCTAGTCAACACTAAGTAAACTAAAAAAAATGAAATGAAAGATAAATTAACAAACAATCATTTACCTTCAGTAGATGAAGATGTGGGTTGTTCCTCTTTTCCTCCCATGCCTGGACTATCATCGGGGAGTACTATTGGCTTTTCTTTACTGGTACCATCAGCTTCTACAACACACAACAAATAATGCTACATTAATAATGAGAAAGAAGCACTTGAAAACACATTAATCAATTTTAGTGTCTGCAAGTTCTAATTCTAATATCATAAATCACTTTTTCAGTTTTCAATAAGGCTAAGTTTGTCAATGGAAAATTAAATACTCTCTATAAAAGTCATCTAGCTGATCAGTGCAAATTGGTTTATTATTATATCAAGATTCTTCGCTATTATGCTTGGACTGCTTAATCTCAAATATGATCACAACAAGGGAATGAAGCTTATGAGCTAGTTTTAGAAAGAATTGTAGACAAATTGTACATTTTGCTATATGTAATACAAGACGTGTTTGTGAAACAGTGATGTCCCAAATAGCAGCTCATGGCAAAGGTTAAAGTTTCTTCAATGCAAGTCAAACTCCAAGGTCAAGAGATTAAAAATGTTGGTACCCAAAGGAAGGTCTCTATCACAAGGAATACACCTGTAAAATATGAAAGCCCTAGCACCAACCATTCAAAAGTTATGGTCAAGGTTAAAGTTTTTCATAAGTAGGTCAAACATCAAGGTCAAACGATCAAAATTTTGGTACCCAAGAGAAGGCCTTGTCAAAAGAAATACATCTGTGAAATATGAAATCCCTACCACCAAGTGTTGAAAAGTTATGGCCAAGGTTAAAGTTTTTCAAATGTGATTTTTCAAAATGGGTCAAACTCTAAGGTCAAGGACAAAGGATCAAAATTGTTGGTATATCTAAAGGAAGGCCTTGTTATATCACTAGAACCAACCATTAGAAAGTTATGGGCAACGTTAGAGTTTGCTAAAATTTTGCCAAAGTGGATCAAATTCCAAGGTCAAATATGGTGGTACCCAAAGAAACGTCTTGTCACAAGGAATACACCTGTGAACTATGAAAGTCCTAGCTCTAACCAATCAAAATTTATGGGTAATGTTAAATTAAAGTTTCTGCAGACAAACAGACAAAAAAATGGATGGACAGAGTAAAAAAATACTTTAAATGTCTTTAATTCTATGTGTTCAGTATTTCACGATTTCCTTTACTTGTACATTTCACGGTGGTTTTAATTTCATGGACATTAAAATTTTCTTTTTAAGATATTTGTAATTTTGAAAAAAAAAATTCTGGAAAACAAAGAAAGTTTTGTGGACTACATATAATACTTTAAGTAGGTTACTGTAAACAACCAATAATTTGTCATTATAAACTCGCAATTCCAAACTATTAGCAAATGGTTTACGCTTTTATTAATAGGGAAACTTGGTTTAGGTAGAGTATTTGTATTTAATAAATGAATACCAAATTGATATGTTAGACAATATTCACAATGGCTTAATATGTTCACGGAAAATTGTTTGATCACAAAAAATGGTGATATTAAAACCGTCGCAATGTATTCCACTTTTACAGAATGCCCCCAAATCTTTGTTTACAGGACCAAGTCACTAGAAACACTTGATCTTTATGAATCCCTCTCATAGACATTCTATAACACTATCTGCCATAAAATATCTAAAATTTTGTTGAAATATCTAAAATATTGAGACTGAGAAAGAACAAGTCC